TTCGGTCTGGTTTTCTGAGCACAGACACTGAAGCATACACACACAGAAACGCTTCTCACAGCGCGCGAGTAGGCCTACTCTTTCACGTCGCATTAACGGAGAATTACACACAAAATCATGTCGAATTGTCCATTTTGACGAGTATTCACGTAAACACAGTACGTCTTAAGTGAACGCAAACGGCAGGGAGAACATGTATCAGTACATTGCATCCATTGCAGCTGTGCATTCGGTTTTAAAGGGATAGCAGGCTAATTTAGTTGCTATTGCACGCGTCATCGATGTTAATCAAGCAACAACAGAAAGACAGAAAATCACTCACTGCTCATGACTGAAACACTTTAGTAGCCCTAAAGATTAATCTAAATTTATTTTACAGAAATAAATATGTCTGCTTGAAAGAATCAAGAGTATGGTAAACAAGTTGCTATAAAGAATGCATAATTAGCCATATATAACCATTGGCATTTCATTACAAAGAAGACCATGTTCTTGTTCGTTATGAGAAGTGGTTTTATTTAATTTTAAGATAAAGGCATGTTATGTGTCACCGCAGTTAAATCGGTGTCTATCGTGATAAAACCTTAATATCAAACCTATATAATGAGTTTGGAAATGTTGGAGAAATGCTTAATAAAGGCATTACACTATAACTAAACCCATTAGATTTTAGCCGACTAAATTTACTGTCGATTTAGTCGACTAAAATCTTATGATATTTAGTCGACTAAAACTAGACTAAAACTAAAAACAATTCAGGTGACTAAAACTAAATGGCATTTTAGTCAAAAGACTATGACTAAAACAAAATCAAAATTTGCTGTCAAAATTAACACTGCAGCCAAATCCCTCACAATTTTCAAGAAACAACTGAAAACTCATCTCTTCCGTGAGCATGTAACTGCCTCCTCATTAAAAAAAAGATTCTATGCCTTAATTTTTTCTTTTCTTTTATTATTCTTTATCCTTTCCTGTCCTAGCTTTTACTATTTTAAACGATGACTGAAACCTTGTATAACGGGCACTTCTGGTGTTTATTGCCATCTTATGGTAAATCACTTGTTGTATTCCTCTGTAAGTCACTTTGGATAAAAGCTTCTGCCAAATGAATAAATGTAAATTATATAGACTACATTTAGGGTGTTTTTGTCCTTTATAAAGCCTTTTTGATCACTATGAATTGTTGCAGTATGCGGGAAAGAGCTGCATAAGTATTTACAGAAAAAAACAGCAATATTGAAACAGTGATTAGTTACAGAATTGTTATTATGGGTGAAATATCCTTTTAATAATACTAAGCCAGAAAATAATGTTGACTGTAATAGCTGCTGATTGTGACTGAACTGAACACAGGGCTGTCTGCCTGTCCAGAAATGACCACTGACCCCTTTCCCGGCAATCATCAGCACTGCGCCCATGTAAACACTAGTGAAGAGTCTCCTGATGGCCATGTGGTCAGTGAGTGCAGGATCCTGTTTACAGAGTGCAGACAGTTGTGAATTTCAGTCATTCATCTGCTCCTTTACTTTGACAGACAAACAACTAGGTCTGTCTGACAGCTAGTAAATATGAACAGTGGTTTATAGTACTTCCTCTCCACGTTAACCATGTTAGCTATTACTCAGTACACTACAGTCCTGAGTAGTCCATTTCTGGATGTTTGTTTGTTTTTTAGTTGAATTCAATTGAATTTGAAATTATTTCTATATTTTTAAACACTTAAAAAGTTGTCATTGAGAGCATAGTAATTATCTGTTGACAATATCTGATGAACCCTCATCGCAGAGACACTCAAGAGACTAAAAACATTTATGAAGTGCATTAAAATGCTGTGAGCATTACTTGGTACATGAAAGGGGAAAAATGTACTAACTGATAACAGGGACAAACTCATGACATTAAAAGCCAACAAGTTACTAAATGTGATGAAAAAACAACAATAATGCAATTAAAACTGGAAAACGGTCAAGCAGTGAAACCATATAAATGAATATTAATGGGAAGAGGGCAAATGAGACTGATAAACAAAAATAAATTATTTTTTAGGCCAGTTTGGGGGAAAAAAATAAATATGAAATACTTAAAATATAAATAAAATATAATAAAAACTTTTATTTAAAAAAATGATCACTGATTGGTCTGCTATATCATGTTACTCTAGATGTACATTAACATTTTTAACATTATTATTAGTGCAAAATTCCATCTATACATCCATCCATCCAACTCCTTATCTTCTGTAGGGTCATAGGTACATTAACATTATTGCATAAATATATATAAATAATCATAGAGAAATAACATAGAGAAATTCAAGGATTAATTGTCTGCCAGCAGCCATTAGAAAAAAATAACAAATAATAAAAGTGTCTTCTAGTAGCAATTTATTTGTACAGCATCACTCTTTTTAAAATGCTCCTAATTTACACAGCACGTCTGGAAAGACTGGTGGTGACTTAATGTAAATGTTCACATCCTGAGTGATTACAATGACTTAATTAAAGTTTAGAGTTTTTTAAGGGAAGCTGAACACAACGACACACTCTGTTTCACGCTCTCACAATCTTCTGACGGTTAATGTAAATTCAAGGCAATTGAGGACATGAAGAATCAGAGAAGCACACAATGAGAAAGGTCAACACATTATCTAAGAGGAAAGAGAGAGAGGATGCAGATAAAACAGAGCTGTCACTCAAGTCTGTCAAACCCAGATGAAAATGCTTTTTCTGCTGACTGACAGTGAATGCTTTGCCCTGAGGCTGTGCCAAAAAATACTTTGTATCTTTTAGTTTGTGGATCCTGGGATTAAGGGGTTTGGCTTCCTTCCTTGCATTTTGTAAGTGATGATTGATCCATTATCAAGATATGGTGTGAAATCATGTCAGTCCACAAGCTCTTAAAAGACAGGATGTCATTAAATACTGATATGAACATGCTTAATCCACTCATAAAACTGTCCAAATAAGCAGCATTGTGAAATAGAGATGCATGTGGATTTCTCTCGTGCCCTTAGGGTTGCACATTTTTCACTTCATCCTCAAAATGCACTTCGGCGAAGTCCACCTGCTGCCGGTGGCCTGGTGCCCACCGTCTGTTGAGTCTTATTTGTGGGCCATGCCTGCTCCATGTGCTCATCCTCTCTCACTCCACGGCAGATTTTGGCACTGAGTGTGGGGTCTGTTTACATCATCTCTGGTGGGTAGCTGGACGAAAAAGTGCTGTCGTACCTCAACATACAGTTCTGAAGCCATTTCGGCTCTTTATCATGAGGTGACTGTGGAGAACTTTTAATTGGGGAATCTGCTAAAGGAATGCTGATCACCTTGCGTCTCAACATGATACGCATTACACTATAGGTAGCCTGAGTGTGAACGGTGATCACTGTTTACATAACAGTCAAACAAAGCTATGTGCTTCAGGCTGTTAGCAGTAGTGCTAGCACTAATAATAGGCAATTGCCTTCTGGTTGCCTTCCGTTGGAGCGGTTTTGTGTTTAGCTTTCGTGAGTTAATCAGGCACTAATTTTCAATCAGAGATTTGTTTCGATAATTTGTCCACAGATTTCAAAAGCATTGAGGTGACTTCATCTAGCACAGTGCAGAGACTCTGTAATGTACTTAGCAATATGAAACCTGTGAGGTGTGTATTTACTTTGAAAGGGACTTTGTGTAAAACTTAGAGATCTACATTGCCCAAAGGCTAAAACAAACAAAAAGACAGACAGAGAGAGAGAGAAAGGGTAAAAACACCTCCAATCTGTGTGCCCGGCTGATGGTTGACTGAGTTTAGTGGGAGGTGGAGGGGGAGGGTTTTAGAGGGAGGGACAATGTCATCAGGATTGGGGAGGAGAAGATCAACCTGATTCCTCAGGGAATGAGGTGTCTCAACAGCCTTGCAACTCTACTCTCGTGAACATGCTAAATTAGCTGGAACCGTCAACACTGGCTTTTCTGGCAGAGTTTTAGTGTTCATTATGGATGAAAAGCGATTAGCTTTATTTCCGCACTGGAATACTGTCATACCAAAGGTGTGAGGACTTTGGGAAAAAGTTATATGTATAGCTGCAGTCCAGGACGTCAGGTGAGTTTTTGAGATGTCAGGCATGCGGTGTCAGTTTGCCAAACTTTTTCACCTCATTTCTGTTGAAAGTGGATTTTAGCACATACTGTAATCTACATCCAAAAGTGTGTTGGTGGTGCTTTGTGGGATTTTATAAATCTTGTTATTTTGCTTTGCTAAGCATTTCTTTGGGCTGCAGTCAAACGTCGCAGTTAAGCAGCGTTGCAGCATTTTCTAAATACAGATAAAAATCTTTAAAAAAATTAAAATAGTTCCTGGTGCAAATATAAGGGTGCTAGTAATTACTAATGTGACGACTGTGCAAGTGTACTTCACAGGTCTGTGTACATTTATTTAAAAGTTTTCTTGAATTTTTTAGCAATTCAAACAAACTAATATTCTCTTAATATTATTATTATTATTTCAAATGTTCGACTTGTCATCTAAAACACAAAAAGAAGCTATCATCTATTCTGAACATATTTTGACTGGGGCCTAAGGTAATCTCGTTCAATATGGAATATTATTTCTTCCTAAATACACCTATCAATTTCCCATCTCATCCATCAAGGCCTTTATAAGTGGTGTGATCATTAGATATTATATATTGAATGTTAAGTTGACTACATATTGAACATTTTGTGGTATGATTAGAAGGTGGTGACACATGAAGGTGGACACCTTGGTGATAACAAGAAGGTGGTCACCTTAAGTAAGGTCCACGTATATTGGGTTTAAACCATTTGTCTTAACTATCCATTCTCTGAAGCCCTCCTAGCAATTTAGATAATTGCCTCCCTGTGGCACTAATTGTGGATGTGAGGTGGATTGATATCCACAGACAGATGGGGAACCTACTCACACAAAAATGTTGTAAAGATTTTTCAGAATTTGTGCGAGAGGAAAGGATTTAATCTTTAATCTCGATAGAATACGACAGAAAAAAACCATGCATTCATTGCTTTGCTTTAAACAAAGATAATTGTGTTTATCATAATCTAATTAGCAGGCAGTTCAAGAACATTTTGGGAGGAAGTTAAATTCAGCGTCATCTGTAATGTCTCTGCACCATCGAGCTAGCTGTTCTGTTAAAAAAAATTACTCATATGTGGGCATGTTGATGGTTGGCTCTGGCCACAACTTTTGCAAACAATAAACCAACAACAAGAGCTAGTGTAATCCTATGCACCACAAAGCATTAAACGTTCAGGGAATGTAATAAGAACTGCTGTAGCATCTGTTAAAAAGCAAATGAAAAATTGCTGTATGTGCAATAGCTAAAAACTGCTCTTTGTTGGCTTACTTGTGGTTTACAGTAGTACATGCTTTAAACACATGCAACAGTTTGCTTTGATGTGAGTTTCTTGAGTATTATTAGTGCTTGATACAATTAAAGTTTGATTTATCATAGTACACAGTACCATTACAAGAGTGCAAGCATGCTGAACTGTTCACGGTATCCTTAAATGTCATTAAATCTAACAAAACTGGCAAAGTGAGAACTGATAGTGAAATTTGATCCGAGTGCGCGCCTGGCTGAACGTGTGGCGGCAGGTAGCTGTGAGAGTGTATGCTGGAGGGCAACACACTGCACATCCTACTGCTAACAGACTCACCTTGAGGGATTTCACAACTCTTACCTGTTGGATTTCGGGAGATTTCAAAAGAGTAAGAAGTATTGTTACTGAAACCCACACAGAAAAACAAGTTTTATTTAAGTCTAACCAGCATGGGACAGTTTAATTAATTGATTAATTCATTCTCTGTTAGTACCTCTATCCCATAGATGCGTTCTGGGAAATATAGCTCCATCTCGCCCACCCCCATCTAGAGAGATTTATTAGATTAGATGCACCTATATAAATATACAGGAGACTGACAGAGAATAATAGTTTGAATAAGCATAAATTAGTTCAGCTTGTTTGTACTTCTTTACAGTCTCCTTTTATTTATTTATTTATTTGACGTGGTGTCACACACTGTATTATAGTTAAAGAGATAGTTCAGCCAAAAATGAAAATTACCCCATGATTTACTCATCCTTAAGCCATCGTAAGGTGTATGACTTATTCTTTCAGACGAATACAATCAGATTTGTATGATTATATGTCCTGGCTCTTCCAAGCTTTATAATGGCAGTGAATGGGGATCGAGATGTTGAAGCCCAAAAAAGTGCATCCATCCATCATAAAAAGTGCTCCACACGGCTCCAGGGGGTTAACGAAGTGATGCATTTGTGTAAGAATAATATCCATATTTAGAACTTTTTTAAACCATAATCTCTAGCTTCCGCTAACTGTCGTACGCACGTTCATTAGAGAATTGCGTTCAAGTGGATGAGGTAGGACGTAGGCGTATTGTAAGCTCCGGTGTCGAACAAAGCTTACAATTTTATTTGAAACTGGCTGGGTGGGATATGAAAGATAAATTCAATCTTGTCGCTAAAAATGACTGTCGACCAAGAGGGTGAGGAAGGGAAACTCACTGTCAGGCACCCCCCAAATATATGATTTTGGTATCCGATTTGAAGTGCATCCCAATGCATAAGTTACAAGACTCATTTTCATATGCCAATTGTAGTTGACTTGTAGTTAAAGAAGACTGGCTCAACCATGTGAAAATGTATCACCTGGTTTAAAGAGTTCTGGTGCTCTTCTCATGGTTAAACAATGTAATGTAGCTTGTCAAGGCATGTCAAAACGGTAGAAAAAATACCTGACTATGGTCTTTCACTAGGTGAAACAGACAATGAGATGAATCTGTGTGTGTGTATGTGTGTGCGTGTTTTTGTGCTTTCTGGTTTTGGTATGTGATAATGGTCGTTGTAATATTACTTTGACATCTCAGCTCATGGTAAGACCATGTTGTGACACAGCATGGTCTGCTTGTCAGAAAAATAAAGGAGTTTTAAACCTTTTTTCCCTTCTCTTCAGGTCTGTGGGTCCATGTTGAGACAGTGAGAATGGCTTTCACAGACACAGCCATAATTCTCATCGTCATAGCAGTCCTAGGAACGCTAACCAGATGTCAGGGGAGCCTGGTTAAAGACAACTCTCTGCTGAGGTTCACCCATCATTTATATAATGCCAGCATTTATGAGAACTCTGCCCCCAGGACCTATACTGAAAGCCCGGTCCGAATGGGCATCATACTATCTGATCCCTTCTGGGATGTTAAGTACAAGATTGTCTCTGGTGATGATGATGGCCTTTTCAAAGCCGAGGGGGTAACCGTAGGAGATTTCTGCTTTCTGAGAATCAAAACCCGAAGCAGCAACTCAGCTGTGCTAAACAGAGAGGTACGAGATATTTACACTCTCACCATCGAGGCTACAGAAAGCACCTATGACAACCGAGCTAGAACAAAGGTATCAATCCAAGTGCTTGATACAAATGATCTGAAACCGCTCTTCTACCCTGCCTCTTATCATGTGCTAATCAAAGAAGACACACCGATCAAGTCGAGTCTGGTGGGAGTAAGTGCAACGGATGCTGATATTGGCAGCAACGCAGAATTTTATTACTCAATCACCACTAGATCACACCCCTTTGCTGTTGATCCTTTCACAGGGACCGTTACACTTATCAAGACACTTGACGCCAGTCAGAGAGACAGGTATGAGCTGACTGTGCTGGCAGAGGACAGGGCAAAGAAAATCTCTGGCGTGCAAAGAAGACACACCGATCAAGTCGAGTCTGGTGGGAGTAAGTGCAACGGATGCTGATATTGGCAGCAATGCAGAATTTTATTACTCAATCACCACTAGATCACACCCCTTTGCTGTTGATCCTTTCACAGGGACCGTTACACTTATCAAGACACTTGACGCCAGTCAGAGAAACAGGTATGAGCTGACTGTGCTGGCAGAGGACAGGGCAAAGAAAATCTCTGGCGTACAGAAGTTTGGAAATGTAGCAAAGGTTGTTGTGACCATACAAAACGTGAGAGAAAACTTTACCCTCATCACACCCTCCAGTGCAGCGACTCCACAAACGGATGATGACAAAATAAGTTTGAACATCAAAATGGAACCCAAGGAGAAGGAGAAAGTGGCATCTTTAAGTATAGTTGAAGGAGATCCACTGAAGTGCTTTCAGTTTGTTCCATCGATGTTGCATGATGGTGGCTTTCAACTGGTCTCAACAAAATGGATTGATTGGTCGCAAAACCCATTTGGACTAAACATTTCCCTTCAAGCCAAAGACAGAGGAAACCCTCCTTTGCTAACACCAATAAAAACTGTGCATATCCCTCCACCTCCTCAAGTTAAACCTTTGACATTTGAACAAGAACTCTATTATGTCACTCTCAGTGAATTTTCTCCCCCGAAAAGTCAGGTAGTTAGAGTATCTGTAGGTTTGAGTTTCAAAAATATAACCTACAGCATCAAAGAAAACCTGGATAGCTATAAATTCAAAATTAGCGCCCAAACTGGTGTGATTATGATTTCTCAGACTCTTGACTTTGAGAAGCACCATCACTATGAGTTTGATGTCACAGCAAATGATGGAGAAGCGTTTACCCGTGTCGTTGTGGATATTATTGATGAAAACGATAATTCCCCCAGGTTCATGTTGCCCTCATACCAGGCTTCTCTGCCTGAAAATGTCCCAATCGGAACAAGCATCTTTGCTGTCTCTGCTATTGATGTGGACAAAGATAATAACGGTTTTGTAACATACTCCATAGCAAACACAGGTTCTGTTCCTTTCATTATAGACCCAATGACCGGTGTGATTTCGACCTCTCATGAGTTTGATTATGAGCTCATGAAGAGATGGTACCACCTGAGAATCTGGGCCTCTGATAGTGGAAGCCCTTTCAACAGAGTAAGCGAATGCTCCGCAACCATCACCATGACCAACGTCAATGACAATGTTCCAGTGTTTGAGCGGGTGGCATGCAATGCCTCTATACCCCAAGACTTTGCTGTAGGGGAGAGTATTGTAGAGATGTCAGCACTCGATCTGGATGAGCTGCAGCAGATCATATACAGGATAGAGTCTGGGAATGATGATGGACTGTTTGCAATTAACCCTGTTTCTGGCTCTGTTAAACTTGCTAAAGCAATTCCCTCAAATAACGAAGGCACAGAAAATCCTTTATATATACTTAAAATAACAGCAACAGATGGCAAATATAGTGCCGACCCCAACACTGTGACTGTGCGTATCACAAGCAAGGGTGAAGGCGCCAGCACACACTGCGAGGAGACTGGAATTACAAGGCAGTTGACAGAGAAGCTTATTGAGTCATTTAAGCCGTCTCTCAATTCCAAAGAAGAAGAGTACATCTCAGATGTTCATATAATTAACCAGTACCCTCCGAAGTTTATTATGGGTACACCAAGCTCGATTGACATCAGGGAAGACTTTGCTCTCAATAGATCTGTGTTGCAGTTTAATGCCACTGACAATGACTCTGGCTTTAACAGAAAGCTTGTCTATGCAATTTCCAGTGGAAACGAGGATGGATGTTTTACTATTGACATGAACACAGGTGAACTGAAGGTAATCAGTGCTTTGGATAGAGAGCAAAAAGAGTTTTACATTCTCAACATAACCGTGTATGACCTGGGATCTCCACAAACCTCTACGTGGAAGCTTCTTGCTGTTAATGTTCTTGATGCAAACGATAATCCTCCGTTATTTTCTCAGCCAAGATATGTTGTGAACATCCCAGAAAACACAGAGGTTAACAAAAGCATATTCAAAGTCAATGCAATCGATCTTGACTCTGGAGACAATGGAGCATTTAAATATTCGTTGTTAACCTTCACCGATTTGTTTAAGATTGATGAAGTCACAGGGGTGGTGAAGGTAACTGGGCCTTTAGACAGAGAGACTTTTAGTAGATATGACCTAACAATTGAGGCCAGAGATCAAGCCAAGCTGGACCCACAGCTTTTCTCATTTACAGATCTGATGGTCGTCCTGGAGGACATCAATGACAATCCTCCAAAGTTTGTACCCACAGTCTATAGGATCAAAGTTCCTGAGGACGTTCCTCCAGGCACAGTGCTGTTATGGGTCGAAAGCTTTGATTTAGATCTGGAGAGTGGAGGTCTTATAAGCTACAACCTGAAGAACAGCGAAGCAGGGATGTTTTTCCTGGATACATCCACAGGGTGCTTGACTCTGGAGCATGAACTGGACTTTGAGAAGCAGGAGTTTTATAATCTAACTGTTCGCGCTGTAGACCACGGAAAGCCCCGGTCTTTATCATCTTCATGCTTTATTGAGGTTGAAGTGTTAGATGTAAACGAAAACCTGAACCGGCCCCTTTTCACCCAGTTTGTGCATAAAGCAGCCGTTATGGAGGATGCTACAGTAGGAACCTCAGTATTGACACTAACTGCTGTAGATAACGACCTGAGACAAGATGGAGTAGTTGGATATTACATCCATGATGGCTCAGGGCTTGGCATCTTCACAATTGAGGAAGAAACAGGTATGATTGTGATTACAACATATCTCAGATGCTTTACCTAGATAGGAAAATACCTACCCAGTTTGTGCATAAAGCAGCCGTTATGGAGGATGCTACAGTAGGAACCTCAGTATTGACACTAACTGCTGTAGATAACGACCTGAGACGAGATGGAGTAGTCGGATATTACATCCATGATGGCTCAGGGCTTGGCATCTTCACAATTGAGGAAGAAACAGGTATGATTGTGATTACAACATATCTCAGATGCTTTACCTAGATAGGAAAATACCTATTGGATACCCTAAATGGATATTGCTGACCTTTTCTATTATAGTACTTGCCTTGAGCATTTTGGGTTAACACTGCGTGTTCAAACATTTACAGATAAGTCATTAGGCATTCCAAACATATGTAAAGACAAAATGAGGCATGACTTTCTCCTGCATGTGTTGAAAGATTTTAGGCATTTGAAAAGCCACATCCTTAACATCTGTAACATAAACTATTATTCTTTGACTACATTATAATTGGTTTGAGTTTTGCAGTTGTTGTGCACATTGGATTATGAAGTGATTCAGAATTAAAGGACAAAACAAACAAAAACAAATATTGATACTTGATATTAATGTTTGGTAACACTTTAGATTAAGGGAACACATATTCACTTTAACTAAGAGTTTTCCCTCAATAATCTCTTAATTTGCTGCTTATTAATATTTAGTAAGGTAGTTGTTAAAGGGACAGTTCACCCAAAAATAAAAATTCTGTCATTAATTCTGTCTCACCCCCATAATGTTCCAAACACGTAAGACCTTCGTTCATCTTCGGAACACAAATTAAGATATTTTTGATGAAATCCGAGAGCTTTCTGGCCCTGCATAGACAGCAATGCAACTACCACGTTCAAGGCCCAGAAAGGTAGTAAGGACATCGTTAAAATAATTCATGTGACATCAGTGGTTCAAGCTTAATTTTATGAAGCTACGAGAATACTTTTCTCATGGAACAACATGAGGGTGAGGAATTAATGACAGAATTCAGCCAATAAACAGCCAATATGCTAGTAATACTGTATGCATGCTAATAAGCAACTCATTAATAGTGAGAATTGGTCCTTAAAATAAACATTCAAGGCCCAGAAAGGTAGTAAGGACATCGTTAAAATAATTCATGTGACATCAGTGGTTCAAGCTTAATTTTATGAAGCTACGAGAATACTTTTCTCATGGAACAACATGAGGGTGAGGAATTAATGACAGAATTCAGCCAATAAACAGCCAATATGCTAGTAATATGCATGCTAATAAGCAACTCGTGACCTTTTCTATTATAGTACTTGCCTTGAGCATTTTGGGTTAACACTGCGTGTTCAAACATTTACAGATAAGTCATTAGGCATTCCAAACATATGTAAAGACAAAATGAGGCATGACTTTCTCCTGCATGTGTTGAAAGATTTTAGGCATTTGAAAAGCCACATCCTTAACATCTGTAACATAAACTATTATTCTTTGACTACATTATAATTGGTTTGAGTTTTGCAGTTGTTGTGCACATTGGATTATGAAGTGATTCAGAATTAAAGGACAAAACAAACAAAAACAAATATTGATACTTGATATTAATGTTTGGTAACACTTTAGATTAAGGGAACACATATTCACTTTAACTAAGAGTTTTCCCTCAATAAACTCTTAATTTGCTGCTTATTAATATTTAGTAAGGTAGTTGTTAAAGGGACAGTTCACCCAAAAATAAAAATTCTGTCATTAATTCTGTCTCACCCCCATAATGTTCCAAACACGTAAGACCTTCGTTCATCTTCGGAACACAAATTAAGATATTTTTGATGAAATCCGAGAGCTTTCTGGCCCTGCATAGACAGCAATGCAACTACCACGTTCAAGGCCCAGAAAGGTAGTAAGGACATCGTTAAAATAATTCATGTGACATCAGTGGTTCAAGCTTAATTTTATGAAGCTACGAGAATACTTTTCTCATGGAACAACATGAGGGTGAGGAATTAATGACAGAATTCAGCCAATAAACAGCCAATATGCTAGTAATATGCATGCTAATAAGCAACTCGTTAATAGTGAGAATTGGTCCTTAAAATAAAGTGTTACCGAATGTTTAACATTATATGGAGACATTCTGTTGCTATCGGTTAGTGATTCTGGACAATTACATTTTGCAGGTGTTATTCGGACCGCAGGCCTTCTGGATCGTGAAGCTGTGCCACACTATTGGCTGACAGTTTATGCAAAAGATCTGGGCACTGTACCACTGGTATCCTGGACCGAGGTCTACATTGAAGTTTGGGATATTAATGACAATCCTCCTGAGCTGTCCCAGCCTGTCTACTTTGGCTCAGTGCAAGAGAATTTGCCAAAGGACAAATCTGTGCTAAAAGTATCTGCTACAGACATGGACAAGTCCTCTGAGGGGAAGCTAGCTTTCCAGATCCTTGATTCTCAGCGCGTATATTTCACCATTGACACAAAAACAGGTAAACTCCATACTTCAAATGATCCGTCAGAAAGTACTTGATCATAAGGTTTTGGCTTTTTATAGGGATAATGAAACAGCACAAGTTGTGAAAATGGTGGTTCATGATTGATTAAACGTGTCTAAGCACATGTTTTGTATAAGGGTGGTATGCCTCGTGACGGGCACAATGAATAGGACCTCTAATTACTGTGAATACTACAATCAGTGTGTGTCATTTTATGTCAAGGGTGAGGACAGTTGTTAAGCAGGCCCACAGAGTCACACAAACTGCAACACCTCTGACCCTTTTTGCAGCTCAAGCCTTTGAACACTAGCTATGAAAATTAGAACTACATTAACCAGCATTGCAAGCTTGCACTTGTCTTTACTAAGTCTCGTCTCTTTGTTGTTTCATCTGCCCTACCTTGAGCTAATACACAAGGATTACAAAGAATACCGGGGGTTGGGTTGTATTATATGAACTTTAACTAAGAGTTTTCCCTCAATAAACTCTTAATTTGCTGCTTATTAATATTTAGTAAGGTAGTTGTTAAAGGGACAGTTCACCCAAAAATAAAAATTCTGTCATTAATTCTGTCTCACCCCCATAATGTTCCAAACACGTAAGACCTTCGTTCATCTTCGGAACACAAATTAAGATATTTTTGATGAAATCCGAGAGCTTTCTGGCCCTGCATAGACAGCAATGCAACTACCACGTTCAAGGCCCAGAAAGGTAGTAAGGACATCGTTAAAATAATTCATGTGACATCAGTGGTTCAAGCTTAATTTTATGAAGCTACGAGAATACTTTTCTCATGGAACAACATGAGGGTGAGGAATTAATGACAGAATTCAGCCAATAAACAGCCAATATGCTAGTAATATGCATGCTAATAAGCAACTCGTTAATAGTGAGAATTGGTCCTTAAAATAAAGTGTTACCGAATGTTTAACATTATATGGAGACATTCTGTTGCTATCGGTTAGTGATTCTGGACAATTACATTTTGCAGGTGTTATTCGGACCGCAGGCCTTCTGGATCGTGAAGCTGTGCCACACTATTGGCTGACAGTTTATGCAAAAGATCTGGGCACTGTACCACTGGTATCCTGGACCGAGGTCTACATTGAAGTTTGGGATATTAATGACAATCCTCCTGAGCTGTCCCAGCCTGTCTACTTTGGCTCAGTGCAAGAGAATTTGCCAAAGGACAAATCTGTGCTAAAAGTATCTGCTACAGACATGGACAAGTCCTCTGAGGGGAAGCTAGCTTTCCAGATCCTTGATTCTCAGCGCGTATATTTCACCATTGACACAAAAACAGGTAAACTCCATACTTCAAATGATCCGTCAGAAAGTACTTGATCATAAGGTTTTGGCTTTTTATAGGGATAATGAAACAGCAAAAGTTGTGAAAATGGTGGTTCATGATTGATTAAACGTGTCTAAGCACATGTTTTATATAAGGGTGGTATGCCTCGTGACGGGCACAATGAATAGGACCTCTAATTACTGTGAATACTACAATCAGTGTGTGTCATTTTATGTCAAGGGTGAGGACAGTTGTTAAGCAGGCCCACAGAGTCACACAAACTGCAACACCTCTGACCCTTTTTGCAGCTCAAGCCTTTGAACACTAGCTATGAAAATTAGAACTACATTAACCAGCATTGCAAGCTTGCACTTGTCTTTACTAAGTCTCGTCTCTTTGTTGTTTCATCTGCCCTACCTTGAGCTAATACACAAGGATTACAAAGAATACCGGGGGTTGGGTTGTATTATATGAAGGATCTACCTCACTAAAATGTTAGTTTGTAGATGTTTTAGACTAGCCAAAAAATGTAGATGTTTGCATTTCCATTGTTAAAGTGCTGGCGGGTTTGGCTGGAAGCTTGAGGTGAAAACTTCTTTCAAAAACCCAACTGGTGTGAAGCATTACTTTTAAGAGATCTCTATAAATATTGGATGCGTGTACTGAATAGTCCAGGTCAGGAGGATAAAGGAGAATGCTAAATGAATATAAAGATCTGGAGATCTGGCTCTTGAGATGGTGACAGTAACAAATCAGACTTCAATGCGGTTTAACCTGCTTCCCTCAGGGCTAAAGGGACTAGAGTTCTCTGGAGTTTTTTTGTCAGGACAGGACAAGACAGGACGGCCTGAGATGACTAATCACTAGAATGAACACTGTGACTAAGCTAACAGCCTTAACAGCTTAGCACCACTAAACCATAGTATTTATCGAATATGAACACTTTCTAGTGAGTATGTAGGCAAGACAAATATTTGACAAACTGTGGGTTAGGAACGGAGTTTACATTATCAAAAGCCAAATGCTCTAGGGGAGATTAAGGCATGAAAATAGAGACAAAAAAATTGTTGCTTTGTAATATTTTGAATGCTAAAAGTGCTAAAGACGTGTTTTTAATCCATGCATTTGCCTATTGTCCCATGCACGATTGGGCAATCTTTCCACAGGTGGGCATTAATGCCAAAACCACACTTTCAGGATTGCTTGCCTAGATACAGGCTGTCATAAAAGCTCAGCAGGGTTTGTTTTGAGTGCTGCACAAGTTGATAGACACTGTGGGTTCCTGCCAGCCCTCGTCTACTGAAACGACACTCTTAAGTGTTTATTGCAGTGGTGGTAAACCACTATCACTGGTGCATTTTGGCCACCTTCAGCCTAAAATCAGCTGTTGAGTCGTGGAGCACACTTAACCAAGCTTAACACCCAATTGTAAAAAGGTGTCTGAAAACCTCTTATACTAATTCACAACACTTCTTAACTGCAGTGGCTCTTAAGCCGTGGCTCATTTTCTGTCAGTTTCTTGGCAACTGGGAAGTCTGGTCTTTAAGTATATGTCAGCGATGGCTAAATCCTCACGGACATGAAAAATAAACATGGTTCCCACGGCTTGTATACCACAGGTTCACCTAGTATAAACAGTGGAACAAAACAAATAAAGCTTGAAAAACAAACCTGTGGGAAGGGAAAGTAAAATGGGCAGCCTGGGGTGAAAGAACAGGTGTGCCATCCATCTGAAGCTGGTGGCATTGATCAGCCTGTCTGTTCTTCCTCTGTGTTTGTTTAGGTGTTATCAGCACCCTTGCTCCCCTGGACCGGGAGCAAAAAGCAGAGCATATCATTGAGGTAGGTTCACTTTCTTCCTTCTGTTTACTAGGTTATAAACCTCAGGCCTGAGCCTTTCTCTGGCTGATTGCTGAGAACATGCTGCTGTTTGTATTTCCAGTGTATTGTTATGTATCATAGTCTTAAAGGGATGGTTCACCCCCCCCCCCCTAATTTAAGGGGTGATTTTGAAAATACTTTTTTCAATCATAAAAAAAAAAATCACATTTGATTTTTGATGAAAATTCACATTTGAATCACATAGTCAGTAAACATCTTTTTAAAACAGTTACAGTCACATGAAGTATTTATAAGAAGCTGTTTAAATGTGTTGCCTCAAAGTAATGTTGTGAATTCTGTGGATATGGTTGCAGTGAATGCTAATATAAAGAATATTGTATATTTGTATTATTCATTATTAAATATCTTTGTTTTGAATATTTATTTAATGTTTAATTCAAATTTAGTTTAGTGAACCTAAGAGCCAGTTTTATTAGTTTCTGTCTTGTGTTTGATTAAGAATTACTGTGTCTCACAGAGTGTTACCTAAAAGTACTTAAACACTGTTACAAAGTGTTACATGCTCTGTGGAACAGCTGTTTATTTAAAGACAAATGTGGTTTTTGATTTGTGCACATGATGTTTCCCTCACCTGCCGTTGTTTAGGTCACAGTATCAGATGAAGGGGCCCCTCCATTAAGCTCGACTGCAACCGTAGTCATTGAAGTCCTAGATGAGAATGATAACAGCCCTCAGTTCAGCCATAAGCTTTTCCAGGTAAAACTCCCTGAGCGGCAGAGCACGGCTGAGCCTCAGGAGATCTACAGGATGGTGGCCCGTGATGATGATGTGGGGCCCAGCGGCAAGTTTTAAAGGGGTGGTTCCCCCCCCCCCCCCTAATTTAAGGGGTGATTTTGAAAATACTTTTTTCAATCATAAAAAAAAAAATCACATTTGATTTTTGATGAAAATTCACATTTGAATCACATAGTCAGTAAACATCTTTTTAAAACAGTTACAGTCACATGAAGTATTTATAAGAAGCTGTTTAAATGTGTTGCCTCAAAGTAATGTTGTGAATTCTGTGGATATGGTTGCAGTGAATGCTAATATAAAGAATATTGTATATTTGTATTATTCATTATTAAATATCTTTGTTTTGAATATTTATTTAATGTTTAATTCAAATTTAGTTTAGTGAACCTAAGAGCCAGTTTTATTAGTTTCTGTCTTGTGTTTGATTAAGAATTACTGTGTCTCACAGAGTGTTACCTAAAAGTACTTAAACACTGTTACAAAGTGTTACATGCTCTGTGGAACAACTGTTTATTTAAAGACAAATGTGGTTTTTGATTTGTGCACATGATGTTTCCCTCCCCTGCCGTTGTTTAGGTCACGGTATCAGATGAAGGGGCCCCTCCATTAAGATCGACTGCAACCGTAGTCATTGAAGTCCTAGATGAGAATGATAACAGCCCTCAGTTCAGCCATAAGCTTTTCCAGGTAAAACTCCCTGAGCGGCAGAGCACGGTTGAGCCTCAGGAGATCTACAGGATGGTGGCCCGTGATGATGATGTGGGGCCCAGCGGCATGATCACTTACAGTCTGGAAGACGGCAGTGAGGATCGTTTTGATATTCATCCTGAGACCGGGGTGGTGACAGCTAGAGGAGAGTTTGTTCGGGGCAACTACAGTATTCTGACGGTACGGATACAAACTAGGGCTGTGAACTTTTAGATTGACAGGGAATCTGTGTGATTTACAATGCTTGAGTTTGGTTCAGAACAACCAATTGAATCAGGATTTTTAATATTTTTGAATATTTCCAGTAAGAAATATTTTGGTTGTGTCATATTGTTTTTTACTCATCCGAATCAACATACTGTCGCAGATTTGGGCTCGAAAACATGGTGTCATTTTTTACTACAGGTCATAAGCTTGGAATAATTACGATTTGAAGTCTCCGTTGCTCGCTAATGCTGCATTTATTCGATCAAAATACAGTGAAACTGTAATAATGTGAACTATGATTACAATTTAAAGAAACTAATTTCTATTTAAATATATTTTAAAACATAGTTTATTTCTGTGATGACAAAACTGAATTTTCAGCATCATTTCTCCTGTCTTCAGGGTCACATAATCTTTCAGAAATTATTCTGTATAATGGTTTCCACAAACATTTTAAGCAGAACAACTGTTTTCAACATTGCTAATAATAAGAAATGATTCTTGAGCAGCAAATCAGCACATTAGAATGATGATGCTGAAAATTCAGCTTTACCATCATAGGAATAAATTACATTTTAAAATTGATTCAAATCAAAAACAGGTAGTTTTCTCCTTCACTATCATAGATTCAAGCAACAGACCATGGCCACCCTCCAAGAATGTCTAAGGCCCGTCTGCATGTTGAATGGCTGCCTCAACCTGAGCCCAGCTCCGATGTGCTGGCTTTTGATGAGCCCCCCTTCAACTATGTGGTGATGGAGACAGATCCTGTCACTGACATGGTGGGAATCATCCGAACAGAGATCCCGAAGAACCTGCTCTTGTTTGACATTATCGGTAAGCACCTCTCTATCATTTACCATTGCTCTTTACAATAAATAAACATAAACAAGATTTTTCTGACCCCACTCTCAAATAGTTTTGTCATAGTTTTAAGCATAAATCTATCAACATTTAGTGAGGTTTATTCTTAAAACAAAGAGTGGGAAAATTATATTTTTTGCCTCATGAAAACGCTTAATTAATTCATGGTTTAAAAAAAAGCTATGCAAAAAGAAAAAAAAACGTAATTGTATAAGAGTCAAACAGTAAGGAAGGTGTGTAATGTTGACTGTCATCATGGTACAGTACTGCATGTAGGGGGTCTGGTGTCACGGTGATGCTATAGCGTCTCTGTCTGTGATGAGATCTGTGCCAGGAGGCTGATCTTAGCAGTGACACATTTCTTCAGATGACAAGCCAGAGCACCAGAGGAGCTGCCTTCCTCACAGCTCTGCCATCAGTCGTGCAAGCAGCACATATTCGCCTGCAGTTAAGGGCTGAACCTGACCATCACTCTGCTCCCGCATTCTTACCTTCAGCCCTGCAGACTCACTCCGAGAGAAATGAGCTTCAGTGGAAATAAATCATAAGCATTTGTAGTAGGAAGGGAAAATTAATCACATGGAAGAAAGCTCAGCTGTTGGCTACAGATCTTGTTTTAGCTCAGCGTGGTTCTGATATGATGACAGCGAGGCCCGCATTTTTTCACATTCGTTATCTTACTCTTAGATACCAACACATTATATTTTAACCAGAAGTCAATTTGATTAAAATACTCTTTGATATGGAAACCAGTGTCATACATTTCAGATAACTTGCACGTTGCTCTGAATTATCATATATATGATTTAATGTCATTCACCTTTTGCTTTAAATTATGATTTTTTTATTTGATTCTGTTCTTCTTTTAATTTTTTTAACGAAGCTAGATAGTTAGAAGTGATGTGATTAAATAAATGTATAATTAAAATTACAGGTCTGTAGACCCTACACCTGTTTAATTTGGAAGAAAATAAATGACAAAAAATGAAGATACTGTAATAAGTTATGGATTATTACTTTGCATGTCTGAATTAACAGTGCATAGTTGATTTGTTCATTGAAACATATATATATATATATATATATATATATATATATAACACACACACACACACACACACACACTCACACACACATACACATATACACCCACACACACACATATATATACACCCACACACACACACACGTGTGTGTATATATATATATATATATATATATATATATATATATATATATATTCTATAATGGTTTTATGATGGACTTCAAAGGATAATTTATATAAAAAGCAGTAATTTACATAGCAGGAAGAATATTCATATTTGATGAGAATATAAGATTATAGAGAATATAAGGTCTGAATCTTAGTGCAGTGTTGGTTAGAAGTTGCATGATTGCATAAAATCCTCTAGTGTGCTTAACTTTAAACATAACCCTGACATTTCATCATTTAGTTTGAAGGCTTTGTTTCACTGTAGCAGTTTCTTCAACCCTCGAGAAGCCAATTATGTATTAATTAAAGATTTTCTTCAGAATATATCTCAAAGCCTCCAACCAAGGCCAGTATTATATATGGTTGATCTTCAGCAAAGTGATAAAGCCAGTTGAGGACTGCTTTGTAAAGTTTGGAAATAAACATAAATCAGGACCAGAAGGCCTTCAATAGGTGGTATTTTTAATAAACACCATCTGTTAAAGCAAGCATGAATTTACCCCCACTGAGTAAGACGTCTGGTCTTTTTATATATGTGCCAAATGTTTTCCCTTAAACAATAGTGCTGATCTGAACAGTGTCACAGGAGTGCCCTTGCTTTCAGTCATTATTGTACCAAGAAGGGCATAACAACAAAGTCTCATGTAGGTGTTAGAGAGAAATTGTGTGATTGGTTCCCATATTCTGAAATGTGAAATCTACGGTATGCTGGTGCTTTTTTTTGTTGCTACTCATGTACTTATTTCGCTCATGCAAGATTTAGAGGATTGTACATTTATTATAGTTCACCTTAATCTTACTGTCACAACACTTCATGTTACTTAGCCCTAAAGTAATGCATACGGGTTCACCCACAAAGGTTCACTGAGAGGTATTGATGGCAAACCATCAGATGTGTGAAACATGTTATTCTAGCCCAGTGGTTTTCTAACGTGGCAGATTTTACTTTGGACATTGAGTGTTGACCCAAAACACAACCAAAATTGTACAAAAACATAAACAACAGTTCTCTTAAAATCAAACATTATAATGCATTAATCTTCCAAATATTAATATAATATTGAATTAGAATATGAAATAATATTAATCTTAGCTGTCAGTAATTCTCACAATGGCTCAAAGCATGTATATAAACCTAAATGAAGCTATGGGGTTACATACATTTATAATCAAAAGCACTAGTCTGTATACAAACATTGTAATAAGTTATTGTTTTTATGGATTATTGTAATTATGTAATATCAAAATGCATACAATTAAATATTATTACTGGAATATTAGTTTAAAACACGTGAACAATGGTTAATTGACCAGCTAGAGAAGCGACAAATGAATATACACCGTAAAGTTTGATTGGATGCACGACATTTGATGAATGAAATGTGTAGGAAGTGTTTTTTCCTTCCTTTTAAAGTTGACCAGCCTTTTTTGTGGTTACATTTATGTGGTTAGTTCAGAATAAACCTCTGACCAATAGGTTGAGAACCACTGATCTAACAAATAGGTAATGTTGTATCTCAGGTGGTGATGAAAAGCAGGACTTCTACATTGAGAAGAACACAGGGAGCATTGTGAAAGCTAGACGTCTGGATGCCGGCAGAAAATCTCATTACAACTTAACAGTCAGAGTCACAGATGGATTTCAGGCCATAACCACTCAGGTATGAGCACACATGCCAAATCCATCACACGCTGAGTGCCGAGTCAATAAATTCATAGCTTGGACCTCTGCAAATAGAATGCGAGATGAAAGATTTACCATTGTCATCAGGGCAGCATTTTAATATGTCTCACTTTAAGCCAATGGACAGCTGAGAGAGTAGTGGTTTGTCTTTCTTTAGCAGGACTTCTACATTGAGAAGAACACAGGGAGCATTGTGAAAGCTAGACGTCTGGATGCCGGCAGAAAATCTCATTACAACTTAACAGTCAGAGTCACAGATGGATTTCAGGCCATAACCACTCAGGTATGAGCACACATGCCAAATCCATCACACGTTGAGTGCCGAGTCAATAAATTCATAGCTTGGACCTCTGCAAATAGAATGCGAGATGAAAGATTTACCATTGTCATCAGGGCATCATTTTAATATGTCTCACTTTAAGCCAATGGACAGCTGAGAGAGTAGTGGTTTGTCTTTCTTTTCTTAGGCCTACATTCAAGTAGTGGATATAAATGAGCATCGGCCCATGTTCTTGAAGAGCCTCTATGAGGTGAGAGTGCCAGAGGACACATCTCCATGGAAGGAGATCCTTCACATCAGTGCCCATGATGTAGATGCCAACAGTGGACTCTATTACTCCATCCACAGCAGTCTTAACCCAGACAGCCTCAAGTACTTTCACCTGGACCAAAGGAGCGGCGTGCTTGTCATGAAAGAGGAGCTAGACTACGAGACCATCTCCACTCATACTCTGATTGTGATGGTAAAGAGACACTTGACTTGACTCAACTAGACTCTCATATCAAAGTCGTATGTAAATACAATTACGGACAAGCTTTGATTAAATGGACATGAAAACATTTGGTTATTTTTCCAGTTAAATCATACTAGAATTCAGTTAACTATCTCGGGTCCCTCACATAATGATATAGATGGGGTCAGAGCACAGGGAAGACCATAAATTTACATTCCTGAAAAATTCCTGACCTCTCATAAGCACCTAAAAAGGAAAAAAAAAAAAAAAAAACATCAGTGGTCAAAGGTTATCTTCCTGGCTCTTGCGCCACACATACACTGACCCATGTACTTTATCATTCCAGGTACGAGATGAGAAGATCCCAATAAAAAAGAACTTTGCGAAGGTTGTTGTGCATGTAGAAGACTGTAATGACCACAACCCATCGTTTCTGATTACTCATTATGAGGGCACCATGAGTAATCTTGCACTCACTGGCACTGAAGTGCTAAGAGTCAAAGCCCTGGATAAGGACACAGGGAGCAATGCTGAGATTGTTTATTCCTTTCACTCTGGTAATCATTTGCCTGGAGCACTGTTACGGTGTCTTAAGCATTCATTGAAAGCAGAAATATAAATTCATGAAGTCTTGCCTTAATGCTTAATTTTAGTGTGGCATTTATAAATACTCTTGGGTGGCCATTAAAAAATTATAATCACATTTAATCTGTTTTTGACATTTAACACAAAATTCTCTTAATCTCTTTTTCATCCAGGTGGGAATGTGGATGGTGCCTTTGAAATCGACCAGGATACAGGAAGCATTTGTGTGTGTGATGCATTAGACAAACTTCCGCAGGAGCAGTATCACCTCACAGTAAAAGCCACAGATCAGGGCTTTCCCCAGCGCAGTGCCCTTTGCCCCGTTACCATCACTGTAAAGCTGTCTGAATTCACACCACCCAGGTTCTCCTCCGAAGAATACATCACTGAGATAAGTGAGACCATGCCTCCTGGCTCCCCTGCACTGTCTGTCTCCGCCAGCTGCCCGTCTTCAGTGATGTACAGGATCAATGATGGCGACCCCAATGGGACGTTCCACATCAACATAAACTCTGGACTCTTGTCTGTCCGAAACGCACTCGATTTTGAGCAACACTCCTCCTACCGTCTGACAGTAAGAGCTACAAATACAGCGGGAGTCTCATCTGATGCAGTGGTTTACATTTATGTGATAGATGAAAATGACAATGCCCCTGTTTTCCATCAGGACACTTATTATGGGCAAATTAGTGAGTCTGCACCCGTCAACAGCATGGTAACTGGGGAGAACAACACCCCCTTAGTGATTAAGGCGTCAGATGCAGACAAAGACACAAATGCTCTTCTGATCTTCCAAATCCTTGAACCTGCAGCTCAGAAGGCATTTAAAATAGATCCAAGCATGGGTACCATCTCCTTAAAGTCTACGGTTGACTTTGAGGCAACACCTGAATTTTTCTTCAGCGTTCAGGTGTGGGATTCTGGTGAGCCACCGCTAAGTGCATCCAAGCCTTGCAGAGTAAACATTCGTGTCCTGGACATTAATGATTGTCCTCCCAAATTTGCTTTACCTGTATATGAAACTGCCCTCACCTTACCGGTTTTTGAAGACATGAATGTAATCCAAGTGACAGCTCATGATGCAGATTCAGCAGTGGCCTACATTATTTCGGAGAGTACTAATAAAAATGCTTTTAAAATAGACCAGTCCACTGGAATCATCTCAGTGAATGATTCGTCTGAAATGCAGTCCAATAATGAGTTAAAGATCACAGCCTCAGATGGGTTATATAAAGACACTACCATAGTGAAATTCAATATCACCAATGCAACAAAGAGTAGTCTGAAGTTCGAGGACAGGATGCATGTGGCCACTGTACTGGAGAACAGTACGTCTATTAAAATGTTAGCTGTTCTGAAAGCAACAGGTAGCTACCTGAACGAGCCCTTGCAGTACACCATCTTGAACCCACATGGGAAGTTTGCAGTGGTTCCATCGTCTGGAGTCCTGCAGACCACCGGCGTTCCGTTTGACCGGGAGGAACGGGATAAGTATGATGTCGCTGTGGAGGTCCGAGACATGAGGCATCCACCACGTGTGGATATCACTCATGTTAAGGTCTATATAGATGATATCAATGACAATGCCCCAGAAATATCCAATTTGCCTCATTCGCTGATGATAACGGATGAAACTGAACCAGGAGATGTTCTCTTTCAAGTGCTAGCGACTGACAATGACTCCGGTGAGAATGGATCTATACTATTTTCACTGGAGGACGATTTCAGTCTCTTCAGAATCGACCATTATCTTGGAGATGTGTCACTACTAAGATCTTTAGATTTTGAGTCTGTGAATAAATATGTTCTCACTGTACTGGCATCAGACGAGGGTGAGATGAGCCTGTCAGCAGCCGGGACGCTGTACGTCCAAGTGCAAAATCGTTCTCATCCGATATTCCAAAGCCTGTACTACCCATTGAAATTACCTGAGAATATTAAGCCATTTACAACAATCCTGCATGTGCAAGCAAGAAATCCTGATGGATACCGCCTCATCTACAATCTAGAGGAAGACAACGCCTCCAGGTTTTTTAACATCGATTTCAAAACAGGGGTCTTAAGTGTCACTGATTTCCTAGACTTTGAGACTCAAACAAAGCATATTTTGACTGTTCGTGCCACGGATTCGGTGACTGGTACCTTTGCCGAAGCCAAAGTAGAGATTGATGTGGAAGATATAAACGACAATGCCCCTGTCTTTCAGAGTCTGTCTTATGTTACAGATATGTCTGAAGGCCTTCCAATAGGCACATCTGTTTTACAAGTCTCAGCTTTTGACAAAGATTCAGGCAGGAATTCAGATATAACTTACCAGTTGGTTGACAAAGAAAATGAGTTTTTTGAAATCGACCCACTAAGTGGGATTTTGGCGACATCGCAAGTATTGGACTATGAAACCACACAACAGTTCACTCTGAAAGTTAAAGCCACAGATAAAGGTGTACCACCTCTCAGCGGTGAGGCTCAAATCATCGTGAACGTCATAGATGTCAATGATAACCCTCCAGATTTTAACGAGCCGTCTTATCGGGCCTCTCTTGATGAAAAGGCCACTTGTGGCCACATCATTATCAAAGTTCAGGCTTCAGACCCCGATAATAAGGATGACCTCCAATATAAGATCCTGTCAGGCAATGAAGGGAGATATTTCTCTATTAATGAATCATCTGGACTTATCTCATTCTCGAATGTGTGCAAGAGAAACCTGGATCCATTTTATAACCTCACTGTTGCAGTTTCCGACGGCGTGTTTCAGAAGACTGCCCCTGTTAACATTGACATGACAAACGGCAACAAGCATAGCCCCAATTTTAGCCAGAACATTTACGAGGCAGATCTGGCAGAGAATGCAGAAGTGGGAACTCGTGTGATCCGATTGGCTGCTATTGACCCAGACGATGGTCCATACGGCAGTGTCGATTACACCATCATTAACAAGCTTGCTGATGAGAAGTTCTCTATCGACGAAGACGGACAAATTGTGACTTCTCAGTCTTTGGACAGAGAAAATCCATCGCAACGAGTGATCGCAATTAAGGTCATGGCTAAGGACGGTGGAGGAAGAGTGGGGTTTTGCACTGTAAAGATTATTCTAACAGATGAGAATGATAACGCCCCTCAGTTTAAAGCCTCGGAGTATCAGGTTTCCATTCAATCCACGGTGAACAAAGGCTCGCCGGTTATACAGATAATGGCTTATGACGCAGATGAAGGCAAAAATGCTGATGTCACTTACACAGTAGAAGAAGCGGAAGAGGTTACGGAAGATATTATTGAGCTCAACCCTTTTACCGGAGTGGTCAGCATCAAAGAGAGTCTGGTTGGTTTGGAGAATAAGATTTTTAGCTTCAAAGTTAAGGCTCGAGATGGAGGCATTCCTTTTTACAACTCCTCTGTGCCAGTACAGGTCAAGGTGGTCCCACCGGAGGTCACTCTACCCCAGTTTACGGAGCCATTGTACTCGTTCTCAGCATCTGAGGACCTCCCTATCGGATATGAGATAGGCACAGTCAAGGCAGACACTGACATGCCACTGATATACAGTTTGGTGAATGGCAACACTATAGACAGCAACAAAGAACATGTTTTTGCTGTTGACAAAGACAGCGGTACTCTTGTAATGCAGAAGAACATTGACCATGAAAAAACCAAGGTATACAAGATTGACGTGATCGCTCAAGGAAATCACAATGGCACCGATGTAGCATCTCTTGTATCTGTTCACATAGAGGTTCAAGATGTTAATGACAATCAACCTGTGTTCGAGGCTGACCCCTATGAGGCCTTCCTGGCTGAGAATTTGCCCCCTGGCACCACAGTCATTCAAGTGACAGCTAATGATGTAGATACAAACGTCAATGGAGAAGTCTCATATACGCTTGAGCCGGACTCAGATGATATTGGTGACATGTTTACCATTGATTCACAAACTGGCTGGATTACTACCTTAAAGAAGGCTGATTCTGAGACCAAACAGCTTTATAGGTTGTCTGTTGTGGCCACTGATCATGGGGACACTGTCAAACTATCCTCTTCAGTACTAGTTGAGGTTACTATCACAGACGAAAATGATAACCCACCTCAGTTTACAGAGGAACTGTACCAAGGGTCCATCCTGGAGAACAGCAGGCCTGGAGAAACCATTGTCACTCTGACGACTGCTGATAAAGATGTGTCTGCAGAAAATAGACAGATTGTATGTTATATAACAGGTATGCAAAGTCACTTGTGTGGTTAAATTATGCCTCATTGTCTGTAGAGATGACAGTTGTCTGTCACTACGTTTAAATCACTATTCATGAAACTGCGTTCTGATAGAGCGTCTGGCTTTACAATTCAGCTTTGACATTTCACTTCAACTCTGACTGTTGTATAAACATTTTTGCATGGGTGAAGTTATGTATTTTGGTTTTAAACAAATACTGTTGTTGTTTTCATCTCTGAAGATGGAGACCCATTGGGCCAATTCTCAGTCACAGCAGCAGGTGAGGAGTGGACAGTGATTTCCAAAAGTCCGCTTGACAGAGAAGACAAAGACAAATATACTCTTAACATAATCGCCACAGATGGAAGGTTTCAAACATCTGCTAATGTGGAGGTCCATGTTCTTGACCTCAATGACAACAGCCCTTTGTGTGAGCAAGTAAGTCAGATATTCTCCAGAAGATGTATTTATATGTGTGCTTCAACTATGGGCACTTATGTCCCTGTGGACATGTGAAAATAAATGCAAAATAATAATTAAATCTAAAATGAAAATAAAATCTATAAAATGCATTTTAAACATAGGAATAAAATAAACAATGAATGCATGGCAAAACCCACTTTCCACTTGGAAAATATTATTTAGTAACTTTTTCCCTTTTCCCAGTTACTTTATACTGAGGCCATCATGGAGAATTCCCCATCGGGCTTGTTCATCCTAAAGATCTCTGCTTCTGACCCCGACATTGGAACAAATGGCCAAGTGTCATTCACTCTTCATGGACCTAATGCAGACAAGTTCCATCTTGACTCCAAAACTGGTAATTTTGATCTCTAGATCTACATCCTCCTACATATTTCTAGTAGCATTCCCCTTTTAAAAATAACATTTTGAAACATTTAGAGATTATCTTTGCTTACTAAATTTTTTGAGGAAATCAAATCAACAACAAAGATAAGAGGCAACTTTCCCAGGGCGTTTGGAATTTTTAGAATTCCTTGTAAACACGGAGAGTATTTGATTTATGATAAGTTTATGTGACCTACATTCTTCCAGGGTATCCTCCTATCTAAATGTAACATCTATTAAGACAGTTATATTGGGTTTCCAAGATACAAGATGCATAAAATGCTTTGGGCAAAGGTAGAAGCAAAGGACTGTGTCCAGCTCTATAGTGTTAAGTTCCTGAAACAGCAACTTTCTTTGTTTTTTGTAGCCACGTTAAAGAAATGAAACCACTAACTCCAAGTAAATTATCTGTTGTGCGCATTTATTAAAAAAATAACTAGTCAAGGCTCGTCTTAGATACCATACATGTTACAACACAGTGATTAACCCTCCCCTGTTATTGCCATTTCAATAAAGTTTCGAGCATATGCATGTTTTTTTTTTTAGGAGAGCTGTTCACGCTTGCTGTCTTGGACCGGGAGCAGGAAACAGAATATGATCTTGTTGTCAAAGCGACTGATGGCGGTGGCCGCTCTTGTCAGGCAGACGTCACACTCATGGTGCAAGACATGAACGACAACCCACTTGCAATGTGAACATCCATCAGAGGTAACACTTTATTTTGATAGTCCACTTTAGACATTCTGCTAACTATAAGTAACTGTGTAACTACATGTCAACATGCAGTGATTAGAGTATTTGTAGACTGTCTGCTTAATATTTGCTAACACTTTATTACACTTGATGCTTCCAACAGACATTCTACTGACTATAAGTATCTTGCACATGTAAAGTACATGTCAACTTATTCTATAAATCATAACCATAACCATAACCTAACAGTCTACTAATACTCTAATGAGAGTTAGTTGACATGTAGTTTCAATTTAATGAGAGTAAGTTGACATGTAGTTTCAATTGAATGAGAGTTAGTTGATATGTAGTTGCAGAGTTACTTATATCTAGTAGAATGTCTAAAGTGGACTTTCAAAATAAAGCATAATCAAATCAGCAGTAACCATTTAAATAATTATATGGCAACACTTTATTTTCAGGACCAATTCTCACTATTAACTAGCATGCATATTATTAGCATATTGGCTGTTTATTAGTACTTATAAAGGACATATTAGTGCCTTATTCTCCATAACTATATCTTAGATCCCTTAATCCTAATTTTAACAACTGCAGTACCTTACTAACTATTAATAAGCAGCAAATCAGGAGTTTATTGAGGCAAAAGTCGTAATTAATAATTAATGGTGAGAATAGGTCCTTAAAATAAAGTGCAACCAATTATATTTTATTACTAGACATTACTTTTAAGACATTTTAAGTCATTTTAGGCATCTGTTGCTCTGCTATTCCTGAACTGAAATACTGAGAATGTTATGTGATATAACTCTTTCAGGTATAAACTCAGAGGTGAGATACTCTCTTCAAGGTGCCGACAGCGGCTTCTTCTCCCTAGATGAAATCTCAGGCATTCTGAGACTGGAGAGATCTCTAGCTGATGAAACCAAGGCCACTTATGAGATGAAAGTGAAAGCCACTGACCGAGGCCTCCCTCGCCAACTTTTCTCCTTCGCCACCATTACAGTACACGTGGTCGTCCTGAGTGACTACCAGCCATTGTTTCTTAGCTCGGAGTACTCTGTACAGATCCCAGAATCATTGCAGATCGGGTCGGAGGTGATCAGTGTGTCCGCCTGTCATCTATGCCAAAGACCCAGACACAGGTATGGTACTGCTTCTCTTGTCACGAATGGCTGCTTTAAAGCAAAAAACACAGACTATTTTCGGCTTATCCACTCAGAAAGCATTCAAAGCCCCCAGGTTTTTTCCTTGACCCATTGCACGCTGGTTGAAATCCTAAAGGTATGCAGCGTTTGATGAGGGATTAAAGGCTGTGCCAGAGAAAAATGATTAGGGCGGGACAGACCACACCTGGAGATGTGTGTGAACATGTAGAGTACACGTACTGACTACCGTCACAGGGATTCATGTGAATTTGAACTACTTTGCCTTTTATATAATATGTCTTCAAGTGAATTAATGACATTATTCTCTCTAAGCACAAGTATTACGCAAATGTGCAAAGTCAAAGAACAGAATGTTTTTATCTTGCAATGTGAACATCCATCAGAGGTAACACTTTATTTTGATAGTCCACTTTAGACATTCTGCTAACTATAAGTAACTGTGTAACTACATGTCAACATGCAGTGATTAGAGTATTTGTAGACTGTCTGCTTAATATTTGCTAACACTTTATTACACTTGATGCTTCCAACAGACATTCTACTGACTATAAGTATCTTGCACATGTAAAGTACATGTCAACTTATTCTATAAATCATAACCATAACCATAACCTAACAGTCTACTAATACTCTAATGAGAGTTAGTTGACATGTAGTTTCAATTTAATGAGAGTAAGTTGACATGTAGTTTCAATTGAATGAGAGTTAGTTGATATGTAGTTGCAGAGTTACTTATATCTAGTAGAATGTCTAAAGTGGACTTTCAAAATAAAGCATAATCAAATCAGCAGTAACCATTTAAATAATTATATGGCAACACTTTATTTTCAGGACCAATTCTCACTATTAACTAGCATGCATATTATTAGCATATTGGCTGTTTATTAGTACTTATAAAGGACATATTAGTGCCTTATTCTCCATAACTATATCTTAGATCCCTTAATCCTAATTTTAACAACTGCAGTACCTTACTAACTATTAATAAGCAGCAAATCAGGAGTTTATTGAGGCAAAAGTCGTAATTAATAATTAATGGTGAGAATAGGTCCTTAAAATAAAGTGCAACCAATTATATTTTATTACTAGACATTACTTTTAAGACATTTTAAGTCATTTTAGGCATCTGTTGCTCTGCTATTCCTGAACTGAAATACTGAGAATGTTATGTGATATAACTCTTTCAGGTATAAACTCAGAGGTGAGATACTCTCTTCAAGGTGCCGACAGCGGCTTCTTCTCCCTAGATGAAATCTCAGGCATTCTGAGACTGGAGAGATCTCTAGCTGATGAAACCAAGGCCACTTATGAGATGAAAGTGAAAGCCACTGACCGAGGCCTCCCTCGCCAACTTTTCTCCTTCGCCACCATTACAGTACACGTGGTCGTCCTGAGTGACTACCAGCCATTGTTTCTTAGCTCGGAGTACTCTGTACAGATCCCAGAATCATTGCAGATCGGGTCGGAGGTGATCAGTGTGTCCGCCCTCACCAAAGATGACACTGAAAGCGAGCCTGTGCGTTACAACATCATCTCTGGCAATGAAGACGGCCGATTCAAGATAAACCCCATGACAGGTACGGGCTTTTTAATTTAGCTTTCTTTTTTGGTGGATGTAAAAGAAATATTTCATTACATCAAAACATCAAATATGTCAACATTTTTACACTTACACTTTTCACTTTGCAAGTGCAACCAATAAGAAAAATAACAAGACATGGTTAGTTTGCATAATTGTCAGCCCCCCCAAAAACAATTTATGAATTAATGACATTTAAACCTAGAATATGTATTTAATACACTCACATGTATTCAAATATGTTTTTACTTTTTACTTGGTTACATGGCATTTTAAAGTGATTAAATTGATTCCTTTCTTGAAAATGGTATAAAAGTTCTAATATTGTTTTCAAAAAAGTTTGGTCGTACTTTATTTTAAGGTCCAATTCTCACTATTAACTAACTATTAACTATGACTTTTGCATCAATAAACTCCTCATTTGCTGCTTATTAATAGTTAGTGAAGTTGTTGTTAAGTTTAGGATTAAGGGATCTAAAATATGTTAATGCAGAATGAGGCATTAATATGTCCTTTATTTGTACTAATAAACAGCCAATATGCTAGCTAGAAATATGCATACTACACTCTTAAAACTAAAGGTGCTTCACGATGCCATAGAATAACCTTTTTGTCTAAATGGTTCCATAAAGAACCTTTAATATCTGAAGAACCTTACTGTTTCACAAAAGGTTCTTTGTGGCGAAAAAAGGTTCTTCAGATTATAAAAAGGTAAGAAAGAGATGGTTCTTTAAAGAACCTTTCTATGGCATCGCTTGAAGAACCTTTTGAAGCACCTTTATTTTTAAGTGTAGTTAGAATTTTTCCTTAAAATAAAGTGTTACCGTCTGCAAGTTCTTATATCTTTGACACTCAGTGCATTTGAGGCTGACTATGTTTGTGATGTATGTACAGAACATGAATTACTCATCATTACTTGCAGAAAGTAGACATGATATATTAGCATGCTGCCATTTGTCCTGTGGCTTATTCCCGTTGTGTGAAGCTGGAATCTTCTTCAGCACGAGTAAATGTTGAACTGAAGAACCTGTGCTGACATGCTTTCAATCCACACAAGCACTTGTCAGCTGGTTTAATCCCATCTGTTCATTCCTGATAGTCTCTCCTTTCTCTCTTGCTCGTGTCCTCTTATCACGATTCCTCCGAGCCTTCATGCTGTAGGACTTTAGTGCAAGACTGAGCCAAACTCTTTATTAGTTGTCAAACAAAACGCAACTTTGAGTTCTGCTAGCAGGCTTTCTGCAGAAATCAATTGGCTATTTAGAGATAATTTCATTCCAAATACTACAAGTCCACCGTGTAGCTCATAGTCTCATAGCGCAATAACCGCATAACAGTCAAGCTTAGAACTTCTGGGTATGAATTTGATTTTGGACTTTGCCTTTGTGCCTTGAGTGTAGTGATTCGTTTTTAGATGCACTATCTAGACAAACCTTTATATGGTATAAGAAATAAAGAAAATAGATGATTTATTGCAGTTCAGAAGCCTTTTCTAGTTTTTCTAGTGTTATGTCAGCAATATTTCCTTTCAGTGAACCGTTTAAGTGAAGTTTGCATGTTTTACCATATTTTTGTATATCCTGATACCACTGCATTTCAATAGAAATCTCCCCTTCTTTGAACAAGAGCTGAGGTTTTTTATCATTTTTCATTGTTCTCAAGTGTCTCCTTGTCTTACCAAAAAAGTGGTAGCTAATAACAGATCAAATGCAGTTTGTACATGAGAATATTTTTTGTTTATCATGAAATAATTGAAACTCATCAATCATACATTAACCACTTGCACTATATTTCTTTGCCTTTTTCTCATTTCATGCAAGGTCAAACTGAATAATTGTAGGATTAATCTCTTAAACCTAATTAAACGCAAAAAGAACCAGTAACACTGATGGATTCATGAGTACGATTATTTATGTGATGTAGTCATGAATTACAGAAATACAATAATATCAGAATTGGTGACCATATTAAACAATCACCTGACCTACTTTGCTGAAAAAGCTATCACATGATTAACAACATAACACCGCTGACATTTCAAAAGAAATGTCTTAAATTGGGGGGCTTAATGAAATGTCACAAAAATATGAGTATGGATACTGGAGAGCTACCTAACAGTTATGGCTGTATAACTGCAACTGGCCTCACGAAAGATTTCATAAGTGTTCAAAAAATCAGTTTGCTGCTGCATTTTAAAAACGATTTAATGAAAGAAAAAAAAAAGAATAACTATAAAAATGAGCATATCGCTGCATGCTTTAGCTAATGGTTGAACTTGTATGATTACATGTGCATTAAAACTGGAAGGTCCACAAGGGCTAATTTTTTGCAAGCGAGTCGTTTTGCAGGTTACTGTAGGCTAATTAACTGCATTATTTTCCCCCACCCAAACAGACCTTAGTTGAGGTAAACGGCATATTTATTTATTTATTTTTGGTTAATGACGATGAGGCAGTGAGGGATAAATGTACAGTCTGTTCAGTAGATTGTACTTTTGTGATCTGGGTGTTGATCATCAGTCAAGTAAAGCTATCCATTCTCACACTAATTATGAAAATAGGCAAAGCTACTCAACATGTCATTGTGGGCTGAATGGAAGTAATCCTTTATGGTCAGGAAAGCATTCATATGTGTGACATCAACATTAGAGGATAATATAGGAGCTATTATTCGGTATAATGTAAACTGTTAGACATCCTGACATGATAAAGAATGCGATTTTGTCATCCCAGGGACTCCTGAATTGGTAACACTTTATTTTGATAGTCCACTTTAGACATTTTACTAGCTATAAGTAACTTTGCAACTACATGTCAACATGCAGTCATTAGAGTATTAGTAGACTGTCTGCTTAAAATCTGCTAACACTTTATTTTGATGACATTCTACTGTCTATTATATATATATATATAAAATATAATTTTCCAGTTTTTGCATCTTCCAGTAGATGTCACAGTTTTACATCTTATTACCCACAGTTCAGTGTCACATTGCATCTCTCATGACTGTGATTCCTGCACTGACAGAATGCTTTAGAGTTATTTCTGTCATTCGAGGCAAATGAAAAATAAAAATAAGACCAGATATACACTGGTGTCTGACGCTGATGGCTATTGCAAGGGGTAAACCATTGCTCAGTGATATCGCCACGGTTATCATCAATATCACAGACGTCAACGACAACCCGCCTGTCTTTAACCACAGTAGCTACAGTAGCGTGATTGCAGAGGACATAACACCTGGGGACATGGTTCTGCAGGTATTATGCTTTCCCGTAACTGTCACTGAACATCCAATGATAAAACTGTTCTAAATAAGGCTAAAGCTGACTGTGTTATTCCTGAAGGTGCTCTACAACATATCGTTTTCTTAGTTTTTCAATAAAAAAAAAAAAACCCTAAACATATCAAGATACATTGCATATCAAGATACAAAATTGCATATTAAGATATTAATATACAGATATCAAGAGGTACAGTGGGGCAAAAAAGTATTTAGTCAGCCACCAATTGTGCAAGGATTTTCTGGATTTTTTTTCTCATTTTGTCTCTCATAGTTGAGGTATACCTATGATGAAAATTACAGGCCTCTCTCATCTTTTTAAGTGGGAGAACTTGCACAATTGGTGGCTGACTAAATACTTTTTTTCCCCACTGTATATATTAAGGGAATATATCTTAAATTAAGTAAATTTTTCTTACCACATCAGAATTTTTTTTTTCTTGTTTAAAGCATAAACCCCATTAAATAAATAAATAAAAAAGTTGTCGTTATGCCCTCCGTTCTCTTTCTGATTTCTGTCTCGTGGAAATCAGACAGTATCTATACACAACTTGTAAACAAACAAACAATCAAGAAACAAATAAATACAGTGTTAAATAGTATTCACTATATATGCAATTTATATGCAAATACGATTTTTTTATATTTTCTTTAAGTTTTAATCATTTTATTATGTGTTTTTGTCATTTTTTAAAAATATATATTTCTATTTAGCTTTAATTGATTTTATTTCGTTTTAGTAATTTTAGCACTTAAAATTATTTCAGTTAGCTGCCAAGGCAACATTTCTAATTTTCGTATATTTTTTAAAATGTATCAAATATTCGTATTTCATTTGATTTCAGCTTTGATTCAAAGAACATTTTAAATAGTTTTGCTTTTAGTTAAAACTAGATGTATCATGTTTTAAAAATAGATATTTAATGGAAAACAACAAAACTACTATGATTTTTAATGTGCTGTTTCTGGACTGTTATCATATCGCCTTTGACTTCAAATGTAAGTTGTCTCAGACTTTCTCCATAATGCATTCTATGAAGCAAATTAAAGCCAGCTGTTGTCAGTTTGGTGACTGGATTGAGGCAAGCTATTGTGGCAGCTGTCGAGGGAATGAATTACTGCATCTGTCACTTAAGCAATCAGAAAAACATTTTGAATGGAGCAATCAGCTAATGGTGATTGTATATGAGCACTCAGTCAGCTCAGCTATTCTTTGTGACATTAGCCGTGTCTGATGCAAACCGCTAGATTAGAAGAATCTGCAGTAATCCAGAGCTTTAAAGCTTTGTTTAATACCACTCAGGTGTGCTCATCTTCCTTTCACTAACTGTGCATCTGTCTCAGGTAAGAGCCATCGACCTTGATGGGCCTCCAAATAACTTCATCATTTACTCTATTGTGAGCGGTGATCCAAAGCAGCAGTTCAGCATCGATCCTCACACCGGCCACATAACCGTGCGCTCCATGCTGGACAGGGAAGAGGTGAGTTTCACTTCGACGCCCAGAACACGCACTCACTTGTTTTATCAGGGATTTAGTTGTATCTGTTGAATCCTCTTATTGCATTTTAATCACTACTGTGCATATTTGACTGCTGTTATTGAACATTGGTGCAATGATGTTCATATCTTCATAATCCTGCTGACACAACCCCTCATCTTTCAGATAACGCACTACTCATTAACCATGCAAGCTGCCGATGAAGGCGATCCCCCTTTATCCTCCGCCGTCCAGGTGACAGTGACCGTATCTGATGTCAACGACAGCCCACCGATGTTCTCGCAGATCAATCACAGCCTCGTCCTTCAGGTAAAAACAAACGCTTCGTCCAAACCCTACCTTTGTGCCTCCCTGCCAAGTTAGTCAATGATTTCGACTTCAGACAGACGGCACCGAAATATCACGCCTGACGATCTAGAACTAATTCACATGAGCTCTAGAGATAGTCAAGCAAATATTTTTTATGATTACAATGGTTATTTCATGGTAGAAATGAAAGAATATGTTAAAAATGGATATTTGCTTTTTGCCGATCCATCAGACACAAGGTTCAACCAACCAATTTTCACTCAGAAGTTGCTCGTCAATTTCACAATTACAAACAAAATGCTAGTAACCCGTTGAATTAAACATGAGATTTTGAAGTAGAAAGAATGAAATAGGATTTTCTTGTAAAATGAATTCCAGTAGTCTTTGTTTTATTTATAACTTAAAAATTTTTTTTATTAAAACACTTGGTAACACGTCACTTAAAGCCTTTATATATAATGCACTATAAAATTGTTTTAATGCATTAATTATGTCCTGTAATGCACCTTATAATGCATTATATGATTTATATGATAATACGTTATAATACCTTTATATTCATTGTTACACCGTTAGAAAGCATAATGCATTAAAACACATTGCAATAAAACCTTAAAATACTATAATGCATTTTAATTTTGGTTACAGGTATTTATGAAAAAATATAATGCATTACAATGTACATTATGAATACCTTTATACATAAAGGCTTTAAATGTGTGGTAAGCGATTTCTGGGAGCCAATGTTGACATTTGAAATCACCAAAACAAACAAGCCCCTACCCCAAAAGGGTCTAGCCCCTATTTTGATAGCTCTGCCCCACACAAACATACGCAACCCAGGCAACGATTAGTTCTGTGAAACAAAGCAAAACCAATGTTACACCGTGTCTACACCGGACGCGAGTGGCGCGGCGTGACAAAATACTATGGAACTCATTATAATCAGCGATGCTGTCTACACCATAGATATACAGTATGTACATATCTATATGGTCTACACTGGATGTGGCACGGCACGACACGACAAATCCCCGACAGAAAACTGCTGCTGCGTTCTATTCATGACGTACTGACACAAATTTCAAATGATTTTCAATGGTCGCTTTGTCGCGTCCAGTGTACTAGACAGACTTTAGCTGTTGCTGCGCAGACACGGTGTTACTCACCTATCGAGAAGAAACAAAGCAACCTCGGCGTCCGATCGCAGGCCTTCCGCTCCTTGAGTTCTCTCCAGCGCTGGAAAGCTGATCCGATATTTACACGGGTCCTACTTCTTGCCTTAAGCCTTCTTTTGTTCCGCAGACATTTTCCTCTTTTGTTTTTTATCCGCCATCTCTATCTTTCTGTCGCTCAGCTCGCTAATGTCCGTCCTGTGCACTGAACGCTCTCTCCGCCACATCATGAGTAGACACGCCCCTTACTGCTGATTGGCTACAAGTTTGTTTTGCTACTTGCTAATCAGTTTTCTAAAGCTTTTTTGAAAAATCGCTTACCCCACCTTTAAGTAAAGTGTGACCCCTTTTTTATCAGTGTAGAAATTTTTTATTCTACATTTTTCCCCCGATGCACTGAATCACTAGCATGGGATTGTGGGACATCAAAGGTGACACAGCTGTCATCTCATTTGTGCTCTAAGCGGCACATGAGCACACGGGAAGCCAAGAGTCAATCAGCCATGTATAATATAGTCATTTTTTTCTACAACAGTGTTCGGACTCTCTGCTTACCCCTTCAGAGTCAGCCGGATCCATTGCTTCTAATTATAGGGTCAACTCTGCTGACTTGGAAATATTTTTCACACCCCATTTACCCCCACCCAAGGTGTCTGTGTTTGCAGAGTGCAGCAGCTATTTGGCACCATGTATGTGGTCAGTAACAATTAGGCTCATCTCTGCCAGCTGAGCACTCTGTTTCAATTACCTGTTCCAGTTGTTCCAATCGGTAGCACTTTGTTGACAAATGCAGAAGGAGTGATAAAAATCACCATCTGTTCTTGCTGTGTTTTCATTTCGACAGAACTGGGCTGTTTCTTCAAGCTTAGATTTGTGTGCACAGAAGAATCTGGCATTGAAAATGAGTCCCGTGACGCTATTGATTTGAAAAACAGCAAAAAACCTACAAACATCAGGGCGGATTGATCATGATTATTATTTTCCAGTAATTTCTTTCTGGTCGCCATGATATATTCTGTTGCCAGAGCAGTAGAATTCAATAAAACTCAGATGAGTAAACTCTAGAATCACCTGCATTCTAATCAAAATAAAGAACACATTTATGCTATTTGTTCATCTACTTTCAAGAAAGGACACCTACAACTTTCCTAAAAGTCAGACGGTATTTTCCAAACATGTGTGGCTTGATGAATGGTGTTTTTCTGGACACAGGAAGGGGAGGCTGTGGGCAGTGGAATTCTGCAGCTGCTGGTAACAGACAGAGATACGCCTCAGAACGGCCCTCCGTTCTCATTCCATATTGTCTCGGGAAATGAGGACAGGAGCTTTCACATTGACCAAGGAGGACTGCTGTCCGTATCCTCCCCACTGAGGAGGAGAGGCAAGCCTCAGCATCTGCTAAAAATCCAGGTGAAAGATTTCATTCATTTATTTCAGTTACGAGTGCAATGCATGTTTACATGTTTGTTTAGAGAATTAAAGTGGTAGTTCACACAAAAATGAAAGACTGTCATCATTTACTCATCCTCATGTTGTCCTAAAGCCATAGGACTTTCTTTCTGCTGGAAAACTCAGAATTTTTCTTTTTTTTAATGGTGCTCCTTTCTCCTATGATGAAAGTGAACAAGGATGGGTGTTGTCAAAAATTGTCCAAAAAACACAGTGAAACTAACATAACAAAATTATATGCTATAGGATATTCCAAGCCTTCAGAAGTCCTTTATTTATTAATCAATTATATATATATATATTTATTTATTATAATTTTTTTTCACTTCTAAAGCTCAGCAACCTCAGTCCTCATCATTGTAGGGGAAAGTTCAGAATTTAAGAATTTGCTCCCTTCAATTCATGATGCAGAATTATATTATATATTATGTTATGTTATGTTATGATATGTTATGTTATATTGTAAATACACATTTCAGTAGGTTGCAAAATTTGTCTTGACAAACTTTCCTTGAATTTCAATGTAACATTTAATTTAGTTTAATTTTTGTTGATTTTAAGTTTTAAATAAATGATAAATGTTCTACTTATGCTTCCTTTAACTCAAATTTGAATTGGAATTCCGAATCATGTTTGTTACCTCAATTTTAATTCAAAACTTGCATTGGAAGTTGAAATGTATTCTCAATTAAATTATAAAGCGCACACGACCCTGAGCACCATTCATTGTCATTGTATAGAAAAGAGTATCGTGGACATTTTTCAAAACGTCTTCTACAGAAGAAAAACAAAAAGTCATACGTGTTTGAAACAACAATAGAGTGAATAAATGATGACAGAATCTTTCATTTTTATGTGAACTATACCTTCAAATGGAATATAGCATGTATGGGACAATACGACCTGACTTAAACTTGATTGTTATCTGTGGACCAGTGATTCTACCACACCGCCTTAAATTATTTAAAGCGACTCTTCAAAGGTCAGTGTATTGTTCACACATCGCAATGGTTTTTTCACACATCACATAAATATAATCTCCACAGGTCACTGACAGCGGCCACCCTCCTCTTTCCTCAATATGCGTGGTGAAAATCAACATCACAGAGCAGAGCCGATATCCACCCACTGTGACTCCGCTAGAGGTTTTCATCACCACCGCTGGTGGGGTGTTCTCGAAACGTGTCATCGGCAAGCTGCACGCCACGGACCAAGATCCCCAAGATGTCCTATCTTACAAACTGGTTTCTGATGGCCTGGACCAAGGCCTGTTCTCTATGGACGCAGTGGATGGAAAGATCGTGGTGGAGAAGAACCTGGATCCAGGCCTGTACCACTTGAACGTGAGCGTGTCCGATGGGAAATTTAACATCTGGGCGGGAGTGAAGGTCCATGTTTGGGCTCCCTCTAAACACGATCTGGATCAGGGCTTCACGTTGCAGTTGGCTGGACTTTTGGCGGAAGAGTTCGTGTCCGATCACTGGAGAGGCCTCCAGCGCAGCCTGGGCTTGGAGCTAAACATCCCCAGACAAGAGCTGCGCATTGCCAGCTTGCAACAGCAGCCGAACTCTATCAACATGGAGGTACTGCTGGTCCGGAGAGCTCAGGACGGCTCCGTCCAGCCCGTGTCTGCTCAGCGCCTCACTGGGGTCCTTTCAACTGTAGAAGATACGCTGGGTTTGAACGTCTTGAGACTGAAGCATGATGGTTGTGTGGGCGCTGGTTGCCCACCTCGGGGTTGCAGGAACGCTGTAGTGATGAGGCAGGGGAGAATGAGTAACTACGCCACCGCACGGGCGAACTTCATCACTCCGCAGCACAGCTGGGAGAGCGTGTGCTCTTGCAATGGTAGGCAATTAGACCACCAGCTTCTTATTCTGGATTCCACTGAGGATTTAGATAAACATGGAGGTCTTGAATGTCATCACGCTTCTCACTTAGTTGCACCTTTATTTGGACTGCTCTGGGTTTGCTTTAAAGGGACAGTTCACCCTAAATTAAATGCACCCTCATGTTGTTACAAGACCATAAGATTTTCATTGTCAAGGGAACACAAAAGGAGATGTTTCACAGAAATTTCAAGCTGCACAAATGACCTGGGGCTTTTAAGCTCCAGTAAGGACAAAAACAATAGTCTATATCAATGGTTCTCAACCAGGTTCAGATGACTTAAAATATTAAAATATGACTAAACAAGCTCTAAAATAAGCTAAAACAATTAAAAATCAAGACATTTGATATAATTCACACTTTCAACAACTTTTTGTCTTTGACAAACTAGGATTCTCATGGCTCGTTCCCGCCTCATTTAATAGTGTAAATTCTAGACCTAGAAAAGTAAATTAATAATTAAATTAAATTAAATATTTAAATGCAATGGGTATTTATAATGGTTTTATAATGTATATAGATTTTTATAGTTATGCTGTGAGTAAAATTAAAATTTTTCCCCCCAAAATGATCCAGTTAATAACAAATGACATGGAAAAGTCATGGGGCGTTTGAATATTGTTGTAGTCAATGGGGGCCTTGGAGTCAAAAAGTTGAGAACCATTGGTCTATATGACTTTATTATCATTATACTCTAATGTGTCTGAAGTTACATGATCAGAAAAAGTTGCTATACACAAAATTGTCCGTTCTTTAATCTCATTTGGTATTATTGTTCATATTTAAACTTAAGACATGCAAGAACCAATGGCATTTGGCATCATCAAACCTAGTTGATGCCTTGTGGTGCCTTACATTTAAATGCATGTAAACATGAATTAGATTTGAGAGCTATGCCAGAGGGAAAGATATTCAAAGAATAATGACTTTAATTTCAGTCTGTTGCTTACATACACTAGGAGCACACACATACTGTAGTATTTACAGGTTGATAGTGTAAATGTGCTTTTATTTTGTTATTTTTTAGAGCTTTAAGGCTCCTGATCATCATTTGCTTTAATTTTCTGGTAAAAAGCAGTTTGAGAGTTTTTCAAAATATCTTATTTCGTTTTGCACGTACACTACCGTTCAAAAGTTTGTAGATGGAAAGATTTTTTTTTAATTCTTTTGAAAGAATACTTATATGCTCACAAAGGCTGCATTTATTTAATCGAAAATACAGTCAAACATTAATATTGTGAAATATCATTACAATTTAAAATAACTGTTTTCTGTTTGAATGTATTTTAAAATGTAATTTATTCTTGTGATGCAAAACTGAATTTTCACATTTCGCCAAATGTATTTATGCTTCCTGCGTTGCAGAATCTGCTGTGAGATTTGACGGCAAGGGTTATCTGAAATACCTCTATCAAATGGAAGAGAGCAAAGAAAACTTCCATCTGTCCCTTCGACTCAAGACGTCTGCAGCAGAGGGCACAGTGATGTCCTCCAATGCCTCTGACTGGGGAAAATTAGAGGTACGACATTTTTCAAACACACTGACAAAAGCGTCTTTAGCTTATTCTTTTGTGTCGTGCACAAAAAGCTTACTTTGTGTGAATTGCTGTAGGTAAAAAAAATCTAAAATACAAAAAGCCCCTGCCATCCAGATCACAATAGAACGATCACAGGAAACTTCACAGGACAAATGCAATGTCCAAATGTTTGCAGTAGAAGCTCGTTTGTTCTCGACTAACTGTGCATTAAACGCATTAATATTCAGGAGCACATTCCAGAAGGGATTGAAACAGCTTGTGATGTGGATTACATCCCACCTTTTGAGCACATCAGTAATAAATCAACCTGCAATAATTAGGTTTTTCTTCTAACTGGACTCACATCGGGAGGTCTGTTATGAAACCTACCAGCATTGTAAGACATCGCAGACACGATTCTGATGCCAAGAGTCTTCCCAACAGCATGGTATAAAATGATTCATCTAAGATCCACTATTTTGGCCAAATTCTAATGCAACATTTTATCCAAGAGGGTAGATAGAATGAATGGTATATATATAAAGTTTGGGGGCAGTAAGTATATATATATTTTTTTATTTTTTATTTTTTTATTATTTTTTTTTTTAAAGAAATTAATGCTTTTATTCAGCAAGGATTGATTACATTGGTCAAAAGTGACAGTAAAGACATTTATAATGTTACAAAAGATTTCTATTTCAAATAAGTGCTGTTTCTATTACTTTCTATTTGCCAAAGAATGACTGTAAATAAATCAATATGTTAAGCAGCACAACTGTTATTAATTAATACAGCATATTATAATGACTTCTGAAGGATCATGTGACACTGAAAACTGGAGTAATGATGCAGACAATTCAGCTTTGATCACAGGAATAAATGATGTTTGAAAATATATTAAAATAGAAAAAGGTTATTTTCAATTGTAATAATATTTTACAATATTACTGTTTTACTGTATTTTTGGAGATGTCTTAAAAACATTTAAAAATCTTACTAACCCCAAACTAGTATAAATACATTCATACAAAATCATCATCAGAGTCATTCGCTACTAAAAAGTATCAATAAAAATTGTTATTCTAGTAATCCAGTGGCTGTCAACCCTGTTCCTGTTTAAATCACATGCTATTTGTTAATGTGGAACTTCTTGAATAGCATGCTACCTATATGAATACAGTGGACAGTAAAGCAGAAACAGAGCTTTCGTCCAATCATTCATTGAGGGATAATAACAATAATCAAGTGAGGGATAATAGTCAGGCGGTCATGGCCAACAGGCATGTATATAGGATGATCAGGACATTTTTACTATCCATAAATGGTGTATTTTGCTAAAACGAACAGCGCAATATACATTATCTCACTTATTACACAGCTGCTTGCCAAATAAATTAATGCACATTGATGTCGAAATGATTTTTATTTGGCCACAGAATGCCACGACTGACCGATGAAGATCAAATATTCCAGAGAATTGTGTATTGATGATGAATATTAGTTAGTTTAACCATATCAACAAAACAGAATTTAATTTCTGTCAGGACCACTATCGTCAAAATGATAGATACTTAGCATAAAGTTTGGTTTGGCGGTATGGTTCTGTTCTGGGCAAAAAACCTCCCTGCCCATCCATGCAGCCTGTCATGAATGAGCAGGGAGAGCAGCAATAATAACCCCCCCAGGGTTAACAGAACAGAACAAGGCAGATATCATTAATGTACTTAATGATATTTAAGTGTAACACTTTATTCAAGATAAAGGAGTCTGATTAGCAAGGAATATCAGAAAGCTAAGTCCTGACTGTGGCGAAAGGTGGAGCTGGGGATGGAGGAGGGTAATTTGCTCCGAAGCAAGCTAAAAAGCTGCTGAATAATACTGAATACAGCTTATATAGGAATGCCGCGATAGGTGTCGTATTCCTATAGGTAGATGTGATCAGCTGAGAATCAGCTGATGCAAGCTTGACTCACGTGACCTGCCAGAACTAACGCTAAAGCTTAATTTTTGTCATCATACTCTGCAGTCATCATTTCACAAGACAAATAACTGGGCAGGGAATATCACCTCCTTTAAGGATACTCTCCATTGCTTGCTTAACCATAAATGTTTAGCTAGCTGATTTTTTTGATGTGGACTCTGGTGGATAAACAACCTTCTTACCTGTCAAACTCAGCATTGCCCTCGAGGAACCAAAACTCAGCTCGAACATTCTCCCTCATTGAGTTCTCTTGGGAAAAGTTCCTCTTCCTTTTTTGTGCTCATCTCACCCCCACCATCACTGCACACTCAGTTCAGCCCAGCACAGCAAAATCAAACAGCAGCTCTGTCCAATGAAAGCAAATGAGCAAAACCCATGGGCTGACTGGTATCAGATCAGAGCAAAAGGCTCTGTGCTTGGCTTCTCACATCGCACAACTCTCTGAAGATTCTGCCACAGCAATTAAGAGGCTGGTGTGAAGGAGATGATTGTTAATAATGCATACTCTCTGTATCAGTGTAATACTTTCAAATGTGAAGTGCACACACACACTAGCTATGTTTTTTTAATGCACAGAACAGGAAACTAATACATGCATATGTGAGTGATCCATTATTTGTGGGTGGATCGCTGAGGAGGCATAATGTCAGCGTCTGTTTGAATGCTTTGCAGCACAAAGTTGTTGGTGTGATTGAAGGAGAACTAACCACGTTCTCCCGTGAGCTCTGTCATTCACAACTACCTTTAGCGCACACAAAGGGCTACTTATCTCCCACAGAGCGAGTGCAGAGAGCACACGCTTCCAGCTGTGCAAAAACACAACCTATCTAATATACTCCAGCAAGAGCTTCGCTGGCTCTTCAGCAACCTGGGCACAGTCCGTAAAATATGTGACGTCAGGCTAAAGCTAATAAGTGTATAGCCTACTTTTGTTTTCATGTTTTTTAAATATTTTCCAGACTGAAGATGTTTTTCTGGGTCAATGACGTGATGCTCATTTTTCTTTAGTCTTTTCAAAATACATTCAATATGAAATTCATACATGCATTGACATGAATACTACAAACATAGACATTATTTCTTTTGTCTAAGGCCTAAAAGTTGGCCGAAACATCACTGTTTATAAATAAAGTCAAGTGTATGTTTGTAGAGTGAGTGTTGAACTTTTCTTCTGAAGTTTGAAATTCAGATTTTATGGAGTTGAACCACCTCTGCAACCTCTTGTTGAGTATCTGTGTATTTTACAGCTTTGTTAAGATTGTTATGTTAATTTGTTGATGTAGTTCGACCATAGACTGTAAAAAAAAATGGACGACACATCTCCAAGTCCTTTCACTGTACAAAAGTGAAGCCAAAACATCCCAGCATAGCCGCTGTCATCTTGCGAAAATGATGTCATTTGGAGCAAGTCGGTGCAGTAGTGATACATTTGGAGCCTGACCCCTTGTCCAAATACCCACACTTGTGGTCTTGGCCACTTGAGTGCGCGTGCGCGCGACAGGAAGTAAGTGTGCAAGACTGTCTTAAAAATGCCAAGGCGCAGTGCCCTTAACGCACACTAAATCCACACTATCCACACTGCGGAGCGGTATTCGAGGCTCAGTGTATCCCATCATGCACCATGTTGTGGAAATAAATCGTGAGACTTTTTGCCGAGATCTCGCGAGAGGTCACAGAAACCTTCCCAATGTAGCCTATGTCAAATATTATTCATAATTAGATATTAGCTACATATAATTTGGTAGTAAAACAAAGAGTTGCACGTTTTATTGGTGTGAATGAGTAGTGGTGATAATTATTTTGTACAGCATTTGCAACTGCTTTTTATCATTTAATTAGAAGCACCACAAAATGAAATTGTGTCATCTGTTATAGGGACTACTGAACAGACATTTAGAAGTTGATTTTAAAATGCAAAGAATTGAAAATAAAAATAAAGCTCTGTAAACACTTGCATTTTTACAACACTATAAGTGTGTCCCATCAGGTAATGAAAAGTTCTACACACACTCATTTGAACACTTGGACCAAATACAGGAAATACGTCATAGATGTAGTCAAGTGGTCAAGTGCAAAGACTGCAAGCGTGGGTATTTGGACAAGGGGTGAGTTTGCACAATAGTGATTCATATGGAGCCCGATTCAGCGCAGTAGTGATCATGAGCTGGAGCCACGGTATCAAAGTCCTCATGACTATGTGTCAAGGTCATGTGACCTTGAAAATGTGACCTTTTTAGGACAAGGCAACGTTAGTTCAGGTTGCGAAATTGCACCCAAACATATTTTTAATTATTGAATAATTAATTACCTTTTAACATTATCACTTTTTTGATTCAAATCAGAAAATTCAAATTCAAAGTGAAAATATGTTATCGCTTTTTTAATGCTTACACCACATGACATTTGTATAGTCAGTAGATTTAACCTTTTTATTAAGAATATTATAAAAGTTTTTCAAATCCATATGAAACCGATATGAATAAAAAGAGTTCATTTCTAACTTTAAAAAAAAAAAGATTTTTCCTGATCTTATCATGAATACTGTTATTTATCATTGACTCTTTGTGTGTTTATCTAGCTGGTGGACAAGGAGCTGTGGCTCAGATATAGATGTGGCAACATGCTCCCTGCCAGTCTGCATGTGGCCAACCACCCTGTGGCTGATGGCCGCTGGCACCACGTCTCTCTGGAGGTCAACGGCTCAACCCTTAGACTCGCAATTGATGCCAGCCACTCCAACTCTGTGGTTCTGCCTCAGCCCTGCAGGCTCAGTCAGTCCGGTGGAGCCCTGGTGCTGGCCAACTCCAATCCCAGCACAGATGCAGTGGGACTGGGCTTCACCGGCTGTTTGGAGAGCGTACAGTTCAACGGAGAGGCGGTGAGAGGAGAGGAGGGGATGACAGGAACTGGCCCGCAGACCGGCAGACTCTTTGGGATCTACCAGTGCTGCTCTGATGTGAAGATATGTGCCAGCAATCCTTGTGAGAATGGAGGCACTTGTGTTGAAGACCCCAGTGGAGGTGGGAAAGCAATGGACACACATTCTTCATTGTTTTGCACACAATGTAGTTTCCCATCTTGCTTGTCTACAACCTGAGTTTTGATATATGGATGATTATAATGCTACATCATTTAATCAGCATATGATGAATTACTGCTGCCATGATCACTAGAAAATGTACACAAACATCACTGTAAAATGAAATGCATTTACAAAAAAATCATGTGTAGAAATAATAAAAACAGAAAAGGTTTGCGCTGAAAATAATAATAAAAAAAATGAATTGGTGACACTTTACAATACTTTTAAATTGTTAACGTTAGTTAATGTATACAACAAATAAAAACAGAAGGTTTAATAAAAAAAATAATAATTAAATGATAAAAATGAATTAATTTTAAATTAACATTAGTTAATTAATTTTAAAAAAGATATTGTGAGTTTAAAATTGCATTAACTAAAATGAACTGAACGTGTCTTTTACGTGTCTATTACAGTGCTAATGTTGGAAGTAGTTACTGAAAGTGTGCTAAAGTGGTGCAAATCTATTCACCCCTTACATATTTCACCTTTTTGTTTTCATCTCTGTTTCATGTTATACAACTTGGAAGTAGGGAATTCATTCTTGAATATTAATCAAGGTACTTTAACAAATTGGTAAGAAACTGAAATGCCGTAGTGTCTTTGGAGTATATAAGCAGCACTACACAGATATGGAAATAAAGCTAGGGAGATAATAATCTCCACTGTATCTCCATTCAAAAGATTTCTCAATACCCCAGTGTCAGTCTACACTTTCATCTCAGCACAGAGAAGTTCCTATGGAAATGTCATTATTATTTTGTCCATTTCTCTAAGATGCATTTTTTCCATCTGTCCTCCAGAGTTTCACTGTAGCTGTCCATTGCCATACTCTGGCTCTCGCTGTGAGAACGGCATCCTGCCGGACGATCCTTGTGCATCCCAGCCATGTGCTAATGGTTTGTGTATGCCAAATAATCAAGGGTACATCTGCAACTGCTCTGCACAAATTGCTGGAAACAGGTGAGACTCACACAGCGAAGCTCTTGAAATCACACATGCATATTATGTCCTTGGTGAAGGCATTAAGAAGTTGGACTAATTTGCATGAGAATGAATACTCGCCCACACAGGTTACATGTGTTATGTGCGTTTTCCATTTGCTGTGTGCCTTCGAGTTGACAAATTAAAACATTATTGATTGTCCTCTTTCATATACAACACCAAAGCTTGAGCAATATGGTGGCGATAATATACAACATAATATTCTGACCATTTTGTGAAAATTATCAAAAATGCTGGAGGTGACTGGCAACTTAAAAAAAAAAAACGCTGCCAAGGAAAGAGTTAACAGTAGCATTCTTTAATATCAAGATATCTCAGATTAAATAATATGGAATCGATCCTTGTGCATCCCAGCCATGTGCTAATGGTTTGTGTATGCCAAATAATCAAGGGTACATCTGCAACTGCTCTGCACAAATTGCTGGAAACAGGTGAGACTCACACAGCGAAGCTCTTGAAATCACACATGCATATTATGTCCTTGGTGAAGGCATTAAGAAGTTGGACTAATTTGCATGAGAATGAATACTCGCCCACACAGGTTACATGTGTTATGTGCGTTTTCCATTTGCTGTGTGCCTTCGAGTTGACAAATTAAAACATTATTGATTGTCCTCTTTCATATACAACACCAAAGCTTGAGCAATATGGTGGCGATAATATACAACATAATATTCTGACCATTTTGTGAAAATTATCAAAAATGCTGGAGGTGACTGGCAACTTTAAAAAAAAAACGCTGCCAAGGAAAGAGTTAACAGTAGCATTCTTTAATATCAAGATATCTCAGATTAAATAATATGGAACGAATTAAAAAAATAAAATACTCTTTATTTCTCAAGATAATAAGAGTTGTGGAAACAGCCAGATGATAGCTTGATAACATAACTGTTTGCATACATAAAGACAATTTAAAAGAAATGCATCTGATACACTGGACGTTTGGAATGAGGAAGATATTCAAGTTTCCATTGAATGGTAATTCATCTGTGGTATCTGTGACTGAGTGTGAGAATATCTAGATCAGTGTGGCCCACTCACACACTCCTACATTCAGTCAATTGTTCCTTCTCTTTGCAGATGTCAGAATGCATGCTCTCCCAATGCATGTCGCGAAGGTTTTGAATGTTCAATTGCGGGAAACTCCATCCACTGTGAGCGCAACACCTCCCCTTCTTATGTGGAAATTGCAGAGATCTGTGCAGGCATACTGGGGCTTGTCCTCCTCGTCGTGGCCTTTGTGTGTTTCCGAAAACACTATGTCAGCCATAAGAAGCACAAGTCTGGCTGCGTGCAGGATTCCAACGGCTACTTCCCAACGTTGCCTAAAAGCATGATGAAAGAAACTGAGATCAGCTCTCCTATGGAGATCAGCACACTGATTGGCTCCACAGGTGATCTGGATAACAGTCCATTTCGTTCCCTCAAACCTCGTGAACAGCGGGAGCTCGGCCCTCAGGTTGGCCCTCGGTCCCAGAGGCCTCAGGGTCCTGTGATTTGCAGCGTGGCCCCCAATCTACCTCCTCCACCCTCCACCAGCTCTGATAATGACTCTATTATGAAAAACAACTGGGAGCACGACTACGAAGGTGAGTTTTATTTATTAATATTTTCTCCGCTTCTACAGGCACTTCACTTCATTTGGAATTTAGTCACATCATAAAAGACGAAAGGCGTTGCAGGGCAAATAGCTGCATGTGCTTGTGCAGGTCAATGGAAAAGGAAGTGCAGGTCATATTCAATGATATCTTCTGTTTGCTGCAGCACTGAGCACTTTCTCATGTGTTCCTGTTTTGAAAAGCTGTATATCACATTTATTGGGGAAGTCGTGGCCTAATGGTTAGAGAGTCGGACTCGTAACCCAAAGGTTGCGGGTTCGAGTCCCAGCAGGAATTGTGGGTGGGGGGAGTGAATGTACAGCGCTCTCTTCCACCTTCAATACCACGACTGAGGTGCCCTTGAGCAAGGCACCGAACCCCCAACTGCTCCCCGGGCGCCGCACTAAAAATGGTGTGTTCACGGTGTGTGTGCTGTGTGTGTGCACTTAGGATGGGTTAAATGCAGAGCACTAATTCCTAGTATGGGTAACCATACTTGGCCACATGTCACGTCACTTAAAATTGTGACATAAAATTCTCAAGCACATCTTTAACACTCAAGCATTTCAAAAACAGTTGCGAATTTGTCTACTTTTTAACTTAAATATGACTACTAATTTTTACTATTTTTTAATAAAGTTTAATAACACAAATCTCATTCTGTACTGTGATTCCTAAATTCACTTGTAGCATTTAAATTGTTTTTTACATTTTTATTTTTATTTAAAAGTATTTAAAAAAATGGAAAAAAAATTATTTAGGCAATATAGAATAAATAAATAAATACTGTCCAAAAGTTTGGGATTTAAGATTTCATTAAGACTCATTAAGATTTTTTGTTTGTTTAAAAAAAATGTATCCTTCATCAAGGACACTTTAAAATGGACAAAAATATTAAGCAACACAACTCTATTATTGATAATAATAATAAATGTTTCTTAAACACCAGAGAGATTTCTGAAGGACTTGTGACACTGAAGACTGGAATAATGACTGCTGAAAATTCAGCTTTGCATCACAAATAAATTATATTTAAAAATATATTAAAAACATTTAAATAAAAGTTAATACAAATATTTTAAATAGTAATAATATTGCACAATATTACTATTTTCATTGCATTTTTGATCAAATAAATGCAGCCTTAATGAACTTCTTTAAAAACATCAAAAATCTTACCAACCCCAAACTTTTGACCAGTAGTGTATATCAAGCATTTATTGTTTATCGGCCATAACATGAAAATATAATTTTAATATTGGTGCATCACTACTTGTAGAACACTTGTATAGACTAAGTGCAAGTGAAATCATGTGGTACAACTAGTTGACATAGACTCAACTCATCCACTACTGTCAGAACTACTCAAATAATTTGTGCAACCCCTAGTTGCAAGAAATAAACCATTTCTAATAATAACTCTCATTCACAGTGTATCCTGCTGATCCTGACTACTACGGCCGACCCACGGTTCAAGAGTTCCCACAGTTTGACATTGTGGAAAGCACCTACTCGACGGCTACCACAGAGTCGCGCAGGAACTCTCGTTTCGGAGGCTTCCCTTTCCCACTGGACCGTGCTGACCGCCGCGCTCCATTACCCCCTTGTTACAGCAATCAGAATTTAGATGACTTCTTGGGGCCGGATGGTCTGCCGCTGCCCAGCTCTCAGTGCCCTAACGAGTACACTGCCATAAGCTACTACCCTACTCAGCACACTTGTAGCCTGGACAACGTCTCCAGTGGCTATAAGAGGCTCAGTGTGCGTTTGAGCGTGGCTCAGCCTTCATACGCGGACGGCGACGGATCCACACGGCCTGGATCTACTAGAAGGACGCCTCACAGTTATGCTGACTCAGATATGGTGGAGAGCGACTATGGCAGCTGTGAGGAGGTCATGTTCTAAGAGACTGCGGTGGATCAAAGGTCCCGTATGAGTGGGGTTATAGAGGGGAAGCTCATCTCGTACATATAGTATATGAAGCTCAACGGCTGAAAGCCACAGAAGCACTATCAGTATTAATAGTCACTTTCAGGGAAAACAAATACATCTGTGTGAAATGCAACGTTCCTCATTGTTTGCCCTTTAGGAATCTGTAGAATTATTGCATGACCTTAAAACGCCTACGGTGTGGTTATAAATGATGTTATTAGTGTTTAGAGATAATGCGGCCTCATTTGGTATTGCGAGTTCAATCGCACCCCATCCAGTTTGGTTGGAAAAAGTATGTTATGTTCAGCGCATGTGTTAATTGACTGATTGTAGTGTTGCATGTCATTATCAGAATGGAATCCAGCTGTGGGATGGATGATTATTTTTGTAAAACATACGAGCCCATATGTGCTCACCCAAAATAGTGTACTATGAAATTTGATGTTTTCAATCGTCCCATATGGTGTAAACATTTTTCGCGATGCAGGTTATCTAGAAGCACATTTCACTACAGCTAAACAGCAGTATAGAGGTTACGCTGATTTGTACATGCGATTGAAGCAGAGGCTGGCTCCCTGCTGTTTAAAAAAAAAATTATAGTGCACAATGTGAAATATAACATGCATGTTTATGAAATATCAAATATAGGTAAGTTGATGTGTCATTGGTTGTTGGGAAATGTACAACTTTTGTCAGAATGGAATCCAGCTGTGGGATGGATGATTATTTTTGTAAAACATACGAGCCCATATGTGCTCACCCAAAATAGTGTACTATGAAATTTGATGTTTTCAATCGTCCCATATGGTGTAAACATTTTTCGCGATGCAGGTTATCTAGAAGCACATTTCACTACAGCTAAACAGCAGTATAGAGGTTACGCTGATTTGTACATGCGATTGAAGCAGAGGCTGGCTCCCTGCTGTTTCAAAAAAAAATTATAGTGCACAATGTGAAATATAACATGCATGTTTATGAAATATCAAATATAGGTAAGTTGATGTGTCATTGGTTGTTGGGAAATGTACAACTTTTCGACTGTTATGTTAAAGGAATTGTTCACCTCACGCACTCAGGCCTTCCAAGATGTAGTTTGTTTGTTCATCAGAACAGATTTGTTCCAATTTTGCATTATATCACTTGCTCACCAATGGATCCTCTGCAGTGAATGGGTGCCGTCAGAATGAGAGTTCAAACAGCTGATTAAAAACATCACAATAATCCACAAGTAATCCACACCACTCCAGTCCATCAGTTAATGTCTTGTGAAGTGAAAAGCTGCGTGTTCGTAATAAATCCATCAAGGCATTTTAATTTTAAACCGTTGCTTCTGGGCAGAATACGAGTCCATTATAATGCTTCTCTCACAGCAGGGGATGGACTTTTTCACATTGGTGAGCAAGTGCTGTAATGCTAAATTTCTTCAAATCTGTTCAGATGAAGAAACAAACTCCTTTACATCTTGAATGGACTGGGGGGTGAGTACATGTTCAGCAAATTTTCATTTTTGGGTGAACTATTCTGTGCTGGCTTTATCTTATGCTGCGCACTTAGATGTTTTGCAGTTTTAGTAGTTTTCAGTGATCAAAGGAAATCAAACTTAAGCCATAAGAAATCTCTATGCAGTGTTTTATGGCTCAATTATGCTTCTTGACAAACTGTCATAATGCTTACTAATCATTAAAAAGATTTTTAAAAATACTGCCAAACTGAACTGATTGAAGAATTATATATACTGTATGTGTGTTTCTTGAATGGACTGGGGGGTGAGTACATGTTCAGCAAATTTTCATTTTTGGGTGAACTATTCTGTGCTGGCTTTATCTTATGCTGCGCACTTAGATGTTTTGCAGTTTTAGTAGTTTTCAGTGATCAAAGGAAATCAAACTTAAGCCATAAGAAATCTCTATGCAGTGTTTTATGGCTCAATTATGCTTCTTGACAAACTGTCATAATGCTTACTAATCATTAAAAAGATTTTAAAAAATACTGCCAAACTGAACTGATTGAAGAATTATATATACTGTATGTGTGTTTGTGTGAACAAAGTGCATTTTATATTCTAAAGCGCTTCTGTCTTTGAACTGTATTCATAACATTAATGACATCTTTAGGGTTCAATATTTTTGTTATAAATAGGGATTTCCAACAGAGTACATTTTATTGGATGCAAAGATGACCTGAATGCGACTGGTTTTGAAGACTGGTTTAGTAGACTGGTGCATGTGTCATCAAATGATATTGCATGTGCCCCCTTCTCTCGATGACTGCTACTTAATTTTTAGTCGATAGTGTTTCAAATGACACAGTACAGTGTTGATGTACATATTATTGGCAGCTGTTGCAAATATTTGTTATGATCTGCCGTATGTTTGTGCAGTGGGTATGGTAAGTGTGAATGTAATTTTTTGAATTTTGAAAATTGAATATGGGATGAAACTCATGTTTTAAATGAGTTCCTCTGTGAGAGAATTGTGTTGTCTTTGCCATTTCCCATCTGTGTAGAAAATACGTATGAAATACATCAAATAAAATTATGTTTAATATACAGAATGTACTGTGTTGTATTTTAATTAATTGTAATCTTATAAATTCAAAAATTCAGTAATAATTAAAAAAAGTAATCCGTCATTTTTTTTCAGCAAGAATGCATTGGTCAAGACAGAGTGACAATAAAGATAACTCCCCAAGATTTATGCACGAGTGAAAATGGAGCAGTCCCATAATGTATACATCTCCTGTCCTGAGGTACAGGGATCTCACATAACCCCACAGCTGAGGACCCTTGAGCGTTTCGGAAATAACCGTCATCTCATAACAGTACTGAGTGCCTTAACTCATCTTGTACTCGTACACAGGACATCTGAAGTGTAGGATGTAACTGTTTAGAATGTCATTTGCAATATTAAGCAGTATCCACTAGTGGCACTCTTCAATATTAATGTCCATGATTAGATGCTGTGAAAGCTTGGTGCATTTTGGAGTGGGAAGGTTTGTTGTAAAGATTTTTAAATTTCAGTTATTATTTTTTTTTTTAGCCTTATCAGAGGGAGATAGTGTCTGTTAATTTAGAAAAACACAAAAGTCAAGCTTAGGCTAGTGTAATCTAATGATCCTGACCAAATATTTCACATGTGATACAGGAAATTTGTCACATGATATTTTTTACAATGCACTTTGTAACAAGGTGGACCTTAACAGGATGGACAGAACATGCTAGCAGTAGAATAACATTTAAAAATTGTAATAGATATCAAATCTATTAATAGAGATAAAAGAAAAAAAAAATTCATGTCCAGTATAAAGCGATACAACAGGGTGGACGTGTTATGTTTTGCTCTATTTTAGATAAGCCATTTAAAACTGAGGAAAAGTAAGAAAAGTTCGTGACTTTGTGTTTGGAGTTGCTTTCACTCCAGCAAGTCATGTGATTTAGGGCACATGCTTAAGAATTTAAAGGGCAAGTAGCACCAATGTAACAGGGTGGATTGGAGTTTGTGAGACATAAACACATTTTGGGTAATTTCTCGAGTTTGGTGGATTTCGGATGTCCGCTTGAAACAATAATTCATATTTTACAATAAAATGACAGTAAAACTTTCATGCCAGATGGTTTCCATGCATAGATGTACCCCATTAACAAAAGTTGGCAGACAAGTTCTCATGTCCTCATGTGTATTACATATTCAGTGTTTCTAAATCAGCAATTTTTAGTATTAGTCATACATTCTTTTTGACATAAATTACAATTCGTTATAATATATTTTTTTTAATGTGTAAAAATGTGTCTATGTCTACATCTGAAATCACATACTTCCCTGCACTCCAAAAAATGCTGGGTTGTTTCAACCCAATGTTGGGTCAAATATGGACTAACCCAACTGTTGGGTTAAAAAGCTCATTTAAAAATGTAACCAAAATTTAACCCAACAGTTGGGTTAGTCCATATT